TCTGGGTTGTTTCCAAGATTTAGCTATAACAAATGATGCTGCTATAAACATGGGTGCATATATATCACTGTGGTATGATGTCTTTAATTCTTCTGGGAAAATAACCAGAATGGGAATAACTGGGTTAAAGGGGGTTTCTAATCCTAGTTTTGTGAGGAATCTCCAAATTGATTTCCACAGTGGTTTCACCAATATACACTCCCATCAGCAGTAGAGTAGGGTTCCTTTCTCACCACAGCCTCTCCAGCATTTGTCATTGGTTGATTTCTTGATGATAGCCATTCTTTCTGGGGTAAGATGGAATCTCAGTGTTGTTTTAATTTGCATTTTGTGAATGACTAGTGATGTTGAACATTTTTTCATGTATTTATTCACCATTAGTATCTCTTCATTAGAGAAGTGTGTATTCATCTCAGATGCCCATTTTTTGGTTTGGGTCTTTGAATTTGGGAGACCTGATTTTTTTAATTCTTTATATGTCCTAGATAGAAGTCCTTTGTCTGAGGGGCAGTTGGCTAAAATTTTTTCCTAATTCGTGGGTTTTCTTTTCATTTTATTGGTGATTTCTTTAGATCTGCAAAAACTTTTCAATAAGATGAGACCCCAGTGGTTGATTTTTTGAAGTATTTCTGTTGCAGTTTGGTTTCTGTTCATGAATTCTCTGCCTACCCAATGTCATCAAGATTTTTACCTACTTTCTCTTCCAATAAATTTAGTGTTTCTGTTTTAATATTTAGATCTTTGATCCATTTTGACTTTAATTTAGTGCATGGTGAAAGACATGGGTCTAGTTTTAGTCTTCAGCATGTTGAAAGCCAGTTTTTCCAGCACCATTTATTAAAGAGGCTATCTTTCTTCCATTGAATATGTTTGGCCCCTTTGTTGAAGATAAGGTGACTGAGTGTGTCTGTAGTTGTATCTGCATCTTCTAATCTGTTCCATGGATCTTCAGGTCTGTTTTTGTGCCAGTACCATGCTGATTTTATCACAGTAGCTTTGTAATATAATTTTAAGTCAGGAATTGTGATACTTCCTGCCTTTCTTTTGTTTCCCAAGATTGCTTTTGCTATTCTAGGCCTCTTCTGGTTCCAGATGAACCTTAGGCATGTTTTCTCTAAATCTGTGAGGTATACTAATGGTATTTTAATTGGGATTGCATTGAGTCTGTACAACAATTTTGGGAATATGGCCATTTTCACAATATTGGTTCTTTCTATCCATGATCAAGGAATATCTTTCCATTTTCTGATATCCTCTTCAATCTCTGTTTTCAGAGTACTATAATTTTCACTGTCTAGATCTTTTACTTCTTTTGTTAGATTGATTCCTAAGTATTTCATCTTTTTAGATGCTACTGTGAAAGGTGTGGTTTCCCTAATTTCTCTCTCAGTCTGTTTGTTACTTGTGTACAGGAATGCTGTTGATTTCGGGTGTTAACTTTGTATCCAGCTACACTACTGAATTTGGTTATTAAATCCATGAGCCTTTTGGTGGAGTTTTTGGGGTCTTCTATGTAGAGAATCAGGTCATCTGCAAATAATGACAATTTCACTTCTTCCTTTCCTATCCTTATTCCTTTTATTTCTCTCTCTTGTCTGATTGCTCTAGCCAATATTTCAAGAACTATATTGAATAGGAGTGGTGATAGTGGACATCCTTGTCTTGTTCCTGACTTCAAAGTGAAAGCTTTCAATTTTTGACCATTTAGTATGATGTTAGCTGTTGGTTTATCACAGATGGCTTTGATTAGCTTGAGGTAAAAGCCATCTATTCCTATTTTCTGTAGGGTTTTCACCATGAATGAGTGTTGGACTTTTCTTTATTGATTTTTTGTCTAGTTGATCTAACAGTGACAGTGGGGTATCGAGGTCCCCATAACAACTGTATTAGAGCTTATTTCATTTTTCATATCCATTAATTATCTGAATCTATTTTATGGAATCTATTTCTTTTACATGTTGTGCATTCATGGTTTCCATTACTTTTCTAAGTTCCTCTTTTTTATCTGTATCTACTCTAGATTCACTGAATTTGTCCTTCATTTATGGTCATCATCTCCTTAGTTATCTGTAAAATTATTTCTGTTTAGTTTTTTCTAGAGACTGATTTATCTACTTTGTTATTTCTTCTACTACCATTTCAGAAAGTTTGTTTGGGTGGCTTTGGGCTTCTTTCACCTCAATGGCTCCTGTATTTGCCTTGGGCAAGCTGGAGGTCTGTGATTGCATCTTGCTTCCCTATCTTCTCATTTTCTTTTTCTTCTTAATTTGTTGTCTGCATTGATGCTTCTAAATTTCCCATGGTAGTTTGCTTTATTACTAGTATCAAGATTTCCTTAGGAAATGCTTATTTTTCAGAGATGTCTTCTAGCTGTAGCTGGCTTTTGGTTTTTGAGTGTGTCCCATGATACTGCATCTTCAGTTTTTCAGAAATGAGAAGTTGCTGCTTATTTGTCTTAGCACCCAGTTTTTTGGACTATGGTATTGTTTATGATGCCTACACAATCTCAGTATTGGCCTATAGGAAGAACAACTGATCACAACTATGTCACATTGACTAAAGTAGTACAATCAGTAATAACAATAACATCATGCATAATCTAGAAAATGACAAACTGTGGTACCTACTAATTTGTCAACTTTATTCATAGGCACAAGAGTTATAGTTATATGACAAAATCTAAACCAAATCAGAAAATTATATACAGTTATCCCCTCGATAGAGCAATTATACCCTCAGGGAAAAAAATTTTGAAGGATAAGAGGAAAAATATAAAGAAGTAAATGAAGAAAAAGAGATTAGAAGCAAGGCTAAAGGACTGAGGAAGATTTCCCCAAGCTTTGCAAAACTGGTGAAGAAGACAGGAGGGAAAGAAAGAAGGGAAAAACAAAAACAACAACTAAACAAAACAAAAAACTAAAAACAATTTCACACTCATGATAAAACAAAATCAAGAATAAAGAAAAAAGGAAAACAGGAATTTCTCTGTGATTTCAACCCTGTGGTTATCTTCTGGGTTCTCCCTGAAGGCCTCTGGATTTACCTGCCTTCACTGTATCTCTGTAGATTTGAGCCTTTTTTCTCATGCCACAAGCTGTGTGTCAGGGAGAAAGTGGAATTTGCTACCTCTGTTTTTGCATTGAAGTCTGTCTCTTCACTTTCCCTGTGGTCTCCAATTCTCCCTGCAGGTCTTTTCTGAGTCCCAAGAATTCACCTCCCTCTTTCTTTACTTCCCAAAGTTGTTACATTCTAGTATCTAGATTCTGAATCTCAGAAAGACTTATTTGCTGCTATTTACCACTCCACTATCTCCCTGGAAGTCTCCAGGAAAGATTTATTTGGGGTCATAGTTTTAGAAGTTTTGGTCCACAGTCAACTGGGTCCAAGGCAGGGTGACATGCCAGAGGGGCATGGCAGATATGAAACAGTCCATGGCAGGGTAGTAGGAAGCAGAGCGGGATAAAGGAATGAGAGAGGGAGACAGAGTCTTCTAGGCCACAGCCCTCAGTGACTCACCTCCACCAACCAGTCTTCACCTAGCAACATCACATTTAGCTATAAACTCATCAGTGCACTAATCCACTGATAGTTATTATGCACCCATGAAGCAATTAACTCCGAAATGCCACATCTATGAGCATATGAGGCTTTGGGGAGACATCTAGATATAAACAATAACAGCACAGATATTAGCAACCTCAGCATGCGATAATTTTTCTTTCTATATTAAATTAAGAATATTTATCTTTTAGGAAATTTATCTTTTAGGAAAAAACTTAAAGGAAGCATTTCACAGATTCTCTTTGCCACATCTGAATTGCCAGCATCCCTACTTGTTTACTCTAGGGTCATTATTAAGTAAAATAAGGGTTACGGAACACAAGCATTATGATACCACTGTGAGAAGTGGTCTGATAATTGAGGTGGCTACTAAGTTACTAATGAGAAGGTACTGTATACAGGGTGGATATTTTGGACAAAGGATGATTACATCTTGGGTGGTACCAAGTAGGATGGCATGTGATGTGCAATTTAAAACTTAGGAATTATTTATTTCTGTGGATAAGAAAGGACTACTCATGATTTGAAAAGTTCATTTTTGAATGCATGACGTATTTCTCTCGAATCATTAAATATATACTTGGCTTTTAAAAGTGTTTACGAAGAGGTAACAATCTACCTTTCATTGATCCACCCATATTTCAAACATTTCAGGTTGTCTCCTTCTCAATGCCCAACACACAAATGACTTTTGATAAATTTAAAAAGTTGTACTCTTTACAAAAGGGAAACATATATACCAAGAAAGCCCAACTCTGAAAATTTATTGAATTCATATAACCTATATGAAAATGTTTACTTATTCCCAGCAAAACAACTGCCTCAGTATTGAGTATAAAAAAGAGAAGATAACAGTTCTATAACAGAAGCAATAAGTTGACATGTGATTGTCACAAACTGAGATTGAAAGTGTGATTTGCGAAAGGTTTGCTTATTTTTGACCGAGAAGCTTTCAGGATAGGGGATGCTGTGGGAGCTGCTTCTGCTCTGTTGACTAAAACCAGCATCAGTTCCCATGTGAAGTTTTCCATATAAAAAGTCATGCCAGACATCCCATGGCTGTCTATTATAGGGAATCCCAAATGTGGCATGACTCCCTGTTGGTAGCAGCTCAGCCAGTACACAGCTGAGCTCCATTTTGTTCCTTGGGAATGTGAAGTTGTAGCATCCAATGTATCCCTTCTTTTTGTTCTTGCTCAGCTTGGCTTCAGCTTGGCTCCTATTAAAGTATCAGTCCTTTTGGGAGGGATATCTTAGAACTGTGATTAGAGACATAAACTTGAGCATAAAAGGAAAACTATGAGATTGTATATGATGAGTTAAGGGAGGGGACATGGAGACAGAGCTTAACAGCATCCTTGACTTTGTTCATTGTGGAGCTTTTTGGATTAAATGACAGTCTTGTGGCTAACTTCATCCTTCCTTTTCTATTTGAACAGGGCTACCCTGGACAGCCAGGTCCCAGAGGTCTACCTGGCCTGGATGGTCATAATGGAACTAAAGGAGCTGTTGGATTTCCAGGCCATGATGGCTATCCTGGGATTCTTGGACCACCTGTATGTTGCCAGATCTTTGCATGTTAATTCAAATGACATTGCTAACCTCTAAATGTGCCCTCTTTCTGTGGCTCTGAAACTTCATTAAGCTTCTGAAGCCCCTTGTCCAACACAGTAATCTGTGCTCACAGCATCATAACAGTAAAAGTCTAAAGAATACCAATTAGAAGGGGAAAGGACACTATGTCAGGTTACTTTTTTTTTAAATGCTGCTTTGGGAATTGGCAATATTGTTAAAAAAGTGTATTACATTTCAGAGCAAAATATACACTTGAGCTATATGACATGTTCCTACATCAGATGATGTTGCAAAATACTTGAAAGCTGTATATGGAATCAGAAATACTTTACAAGAACCCAAAAGCATGACACCCTTGGTTTATACCAGTGGTTCTTAACCAGAACAGGTTTTGTTCTTCAGGGTACATTTGGCAGTCATTACTGGTATCACTAGATGTCACAACTGGGGATATGCTACCGGGACAGGCTACTGCCTTCCTCTGCTACACACACACACATATACAACACCAAAAAATCATTTAGCCCAATGTTGTTGAGGTTTGAAAATATCACACTCAGAGTTCCCCTCTCATTATAACTTTCATTATAAGGTTGATAAGGTATTTATTAAATGTCAGTTCCACTACCTTCATTTAACTCCATTCATCTAGATAAGGTTAGCTATTTGGGTCTAAAGTATCAGGAGAAGACTGTAGTAGATATTATGTCCTTGCAAGGCAGATTTTATAAGCATCTGGAAAGAGAAAAATGACACATTTCAAGTCCATTCTTTTTTTTTTTTTTTTTTTTTTTTTTTTTTTTTTTGGTTTTTCTCTGGTACCGGAAACCGAACTCACGACCTTGCGCTTGCCAGGCAGGCGCTTTGCCACTGAGCTAAATCCCCAGCCCCCTCAAGTCCATTCTTAAATTCACTTAAAGTAATCTAAGTTACCGAGGGTTCAGATGTGAAATGTTTAACTAGAAATCACACCACCCATTATACAGATTTCATAGCTAAATGAATTGATTGACATTTCACTGGAATACCGGCACCATTGCCTTTAGTGACCAGGTTGTGGGTGTGGAAGTACACTTGAGAAAGTGAGATATCCAAATAGGCAAAGCACAAGCTCCAGATTGTTGTACAGGACCTTGACATCTAAAGACTAAACTAATATAGAGCAAAAGAGCCAGGGGTGCTGTTGAAAGAGTTATATTCTAAACATGGAATTATTGGTGAGTCACAAAAGGCTTTCAAACTACCATGGCAACAGACCAGGGAGTAAAATACTTCTGTGGTAAGAATGGGATACAGAAAAGCCAAGGGAATGCTACCTCAAAAAGGAGAAGAGATATCTTCAGGTAATAAGAATCCCCTTGACAAAGGAAAAGAGTAGAAACCTAATCTTATTCCTAAACCTCACCTTCACCCTTAATAGGATCTTTCTATGTATTTTACTAAGCTGAACCTTACCCTCTGCTGAATACCCAGGGATCTCTATTCAATCAGCTTTTTTGAAAATAACAGTGACCAAAACAATAAGGGGAATGGGCAGTGTTAGGAAAGAAACTAGTTTATGCATCTGGGATCACATTATTCTTTTATTACACCAATAATCCTTCTACTCAAGAAATCCAACCTTCAATCAACTGTTTTGTCCCCAAAGCTTAGACCTATCCTCATTATATATAACTTGGATCACCCTTAATTGTACAAACATCGATTTTCCCGAAGAGGACATCTGCCACCGAGATAGCAAAAGATACCTGATTAAAAGACTGGGATCATATACATTGCTTTCCATGTAAACAGTGGGACACACCACTCTCTTACATAGGTATTGAAGCTGAGGTTGTGTGATAGAAGCACAAGATGAAGGTAGTTTCACAGGTTTGTCTTAGACCCGGTGCCTATAAACTGATCCACGAAGGCAATTGGCCTGCGTGTTGACAGTTTTTACAATTTAAAGATATTTTTAAAAGAAAGTGTAAAGAGCCAGGCATGATGCTGCATGCCTGTTATCTTAGCACTCTAGAGGCTGAAGGAGGAATATCTCCCTGAGTTCAAGGCCAGACTGGGCTACAAAGGGAATTTAAGGCTAGCCTGAACTACAAAGCAAGATCCTGTCTGAAAAAGAAAAAAAAGTGTAAGGATAATATAGGACATATTCTAGATATAACCCGTAATGCCTGTATTATTTACTGTCTTGATCTTTGCAGAAAAAAAATTGTTGACCTTTGTCCTACACAAAGGCCTTGACCGTGACTTATACCTGTGCAAGCTACAGCAGTAAAATCTAGGCTTATGAATTTTATGCAGTTGTTTAGACCAATGCTCTGAATAGATTTGAAATCTCCTACTTTATAACCACTTTACAGACATTAGTTGGGGCTGGAGGAATAAGCTTCCAACTTTGAGACACTGCATTTGTTCAGGGAATTTTCTTTGCCCCTTAGCATAGTGAGTATTGCCTTAGAAGAAGCCATATAATTTCAAGTTCTTGTTCCATTCTCTATCTGTTCCGATCATAATACTAACAAAACTCGATGTGTATGCATGTATTCACAAGTTTCTCTTACTATTTTATTCAGGGCCTCCCTGGTCTGAAAGGTTCAAAAGGTGAACCCATTCTTTCTCAACACAGTTTTACAGGAATGAAGGTAAGAGCCTTTAAAGCAGACAGCTGAGTAGTTTCCCCAGATTGGGTCCTACCCCCAATGAAAATATTTCCAGAACTAGCATTTATGTCTCTGAGGAACAGACTAAACTGGAATTAAAAGGATCTAGAACTTTTTGTGGTGGTAATATTGACAGAAGTATTTGCAAATATACTGGCAAAGAAATCCGCTTTGTAGTGTCTAGACCAAAAATAAGAGAAATGAGCAAATATTTTGCATGGGTATTTGTTATGTGTTTTGTCCAGATGTCCTCCCAAAGTCTCATGAGGTGATAGGCAAGACTTTTCAGAGATGGCTGGATGGAAAGTGTCTGATGCTGGGATTAAGGGTGTGTGATTACTAAATTAGTGCCCTGTATGGTTTGGCATAGCTCTGGGAGTGGATAATGTATATTCTGGTATCAAGGATGTGATACTGGGATTGATTCGTGGTGCAATGCTAAGATTAAGGATGCCCTACCCTGGGCATGAGTGCTACCCAGGGCTGCTGTCATCATGTGCTGCTTGCTACTTTGCTGCCTTCTGTCAGCCATGAACTGTTTCTCCTCTACCATCCCCCTCTGCCGTGTGACACCCTGCCTTGGAGCCAGCTGATTATGGACTGAAATCTCTGCAAACTGTGAACTAAATAAACCTTTCTTCCTCTAATTTTGGGTATCAGGTATTTTGTCTCAGCAATGAGAAAAAATAACTTAGACAGGTATCATTTTCTTTTACAAGCTAAAACATTTCCTTGAGAAAGTCACGTTTTATCTACTCTGGAATCCTTGATGTCTGTATGCCTTAGTTGCAATCCATGTATGTTTCTGCCCACTCAAGATGGCCACCAGTGCAAGATCCTGGCCCTGACTTTTATTTTACCTTGCACACTAGCCTTTCACGCTAACTGGGTCCTTGGATATCTGCATATACATGCCTATCAGATCTGCAACCGCCTTGAACTGATGCTGGGATTAAGGGTGTGTGATTACTAAATTAGTGCCCTGTATGGTTTGGCATAGCTCTGGGAGTAGGAGATCTTCATAAGAACCTCCTATGTTCTTATGACTGTACTTTTGGTGTATGCTGCCTGATATCCTTGTGGGACTTCAGTAAACCCTGGCTCCAAATGGAGCCACTGCAGAATAGGAAAGGAGCACATCATTGCCCTAGTAGCAAATGGAAATATATATGCTCAACCTCTGAGAGGAAGATACAATATTCAGTCTTCCATCTGTGCACAGAACTAGGTACTGAAGACACTGACTCTTAAAATGGTGGAGTGCTGAGTATCAGCTACTCAACTTCCCCAGAACAAAGTGCTGACAGTCTTGAAACAACAGTCTAGAGAGACTCCAAAGGGAGTGCAGGGCACGTGGGAACCAAAAGGGAGAAGAAGAAAATAGGATTCATTGCTATAGAAGAAACAGTTAACCCAACTAGAACAGTTGTGTAGCTGCCCCAGCAGCCAGCAACAGCAACTTTTGCTGGGAGATTGAGACCTGACCTGGACCAGGAGAGTCTTGTACAGTCAGAGGCAGCAGTGAAAACATGAATCACTGATTCCTGAGCACGAACTAAAAAGGTGCCTCGCACACAGTCGTTCAGAAGAACAGCAGCGGATGAAAAGGACCACCATTCCATTCTATTTTAAAGGATTTGGGGCTTAAACTCCAGCAGGAGAGCAGCTCCAAGGTCACTTCACTGCCAACGTCCCTGAGTGGAAAGAGGGAAGGGTAGTCCAGTCACAGTAGACAGTTGGCAGTTAGACAGCAGGCTGGGGGAGTTCTCCCAAGTAGGAACCAGGACCACACAGAGTCCATTGTACCAAGGAGCCAAAAGCCAGTCTGAGCCCTAGCTACAATGGCCTGGAAGCATCCTCCAGCTCTGCAACCAGTGGCACAAGCACACAAGTGGCCTTGGCCTGTGGTGGGACAAGGGCATACCCCTACCTACCCTGTGACCAGTGGCACAAGCAGGTGAGCAACCTCAGCTGGCCATGGGTTAAGGGCACCACCACCTGCCCTATGACCAGAGGTGCAATTAGGCAAGTGTCTGTGGCTGGTGGAGGGACAAGAGCACTATCCCTGAGCTACAACCAGCGCATGAGAGGAGTCAGTGATGTGGCCAAGATCAGCCCTGAACCCAGCAGTAATCCTACTGCAGATTTGGTGGGGTTACTCAATACACGTTCTGACTCTTAGTAGGAAACTCACGCAGAACTGGGAGTACCAGAGGAATTTTTTTTGGAAGGATGGTTGTTTAGGTTTTGACTATTATTGTTTGGTATATTTTCTCTGTCCCATCTTTCTCTCTATCCTCAACAGCCTTTCTTGATTTTCTGATATTTACCTGTGAATGAAAATTTTCTTGAGTTTTTCTGGTTCACTTCAATATTTCTCCTTCATTTTTTCTCCTCTGTTCTCTTCTCCAGCTTCCCAAAGTTTGGGGAAAAATCCTTCAGCCTTCAGCCTTTCTTGTACTATGTTTCTCTTCAGTTATTGCTCTATTTTGTCCCCTATTCCTCCTAAGTTCCCCATACCCACAGGATGAAATCACTCTAACAAGGGGAAACTTACTTTGTATAATTTCCTGGTGTATGTTAGATGTTGTTATAGAACTATAGATCTTGCTCCTAGTGTTAGAAATACCAAACTAAAAGTTACTACAGATGATTAATTTCTAGGCTATGTTTGATGATATTGTTAGGGATAACTGTTCTACATTAGCCAAGATGCCATACTTGTTGTATTCAGTTGTTTATCCTTGTATGACAATACTGTGATAATCTGAGGTCATAATCATCCCCACAGTACAGTACCTAATGTATGGGTGCTGAGACAAATAGATAGCAACTCTTCATCCCTAATAAAATGGGAAGATAGGACCCTGGGAGAGACACAAAGACCAACATCCAGCGATACCTAGAAGATATCACGGAGGAATAGCAATTTCCTAAGGAAGCTTTGATACCAGTGATGCTACCTAACATAAGAAAAATACAAATAACAACACAGAAAACAAAGTCAAGTTAAAAATAGAAGATAAGACACAAAAGCAAAATGCAATTGCAGACTTTCATCCCACTCAGGACAAAAACAAGGAATAAAATAGAATAACTCAGAAGTCATCCACCTTAATCTTCTGGAATGACAGCAGCAGAAATAAAACAATACATACATGAAGCTATAGAGGAATGCAGAAAACAAATAGTTTCACAACTTAAAAAAGAGATGACAGCCATAATGAAGGACTTGCTCAGCAAATCTAAAGTAGACATAGATTTAAAAAAATAGAGGAACATAGAAAAAATGGTGAAAACTGTGAATGCCCAACATAGGAAAGAAATGGAATCCATGAAACATATTCAAACAAATATCCATGAAATTAGAAATGTCATTGAAAGTTTTCAAAATTGTATGAAAGAAATTTAAGATAGAATGTCAGACCTAGAAGACAGGATCATGGTTAGCAACCATGAAAAGAAAGATCTATTAAAAATAACAAGGGACGATGAAAAAACAACCAACAACTACAAGATGATGTAAACAAGAACAACATGGGATAGATTTGAATAAATGAAACAGAAGGAGTCAGGACCAAAGACAAAAAAACACATTCACAGAAGTAATAGCACAAACATCCCAAGCATGGAAAAAGATTTTGACATACAGATAAGTGAGACATAAACAGTACCTATAATTAAGTGATAATGTCAATACAGCATACTAGAACTCATGGGATGCAAAGAAAACAGTCCTAAGAGGGAAATTAATCATGGTGAACACACACATCAGGAAAATAGGATGAGCTCAGATAAACCTAATGTTGAACCTCAAACTTCTGGAAAAAGATAAGCAAGTTAAGCCTAAAGCTACTATGAGAGAGGAAATGATAAAGATCAAAGCAGAAATTTATGCAATTGAGACTAAGAAAACAATACAATCAATGAATCAAAGAGTTGATTCTTTAAAAGTGTAAATAAAATTGACAATCTTATCAAAAAGGAAAAAAAAGACTCAAATTCATTTAATTAGGAATGAAAAGGGTGAAATCACAATGGATCCTTTGGAAACCCAGAAGAACATCAATATCTACTTGGAGAAATTACTCCAATAAGATGGAAATCACACCCCGGGACCAGAGAAAAAAAAAAAAAAAAAGATGGAAATCACAGAAGAAATGGACAAATTCCTAGATACATATGAATATTAAAACTGAATCAAGAAGATACAAAAATTCTAAATAGCCCAATATCTGTCAATGAAATTGAACATTAATGAAAAACTGACCTACAAAGAACATCCCAGGCCTGATAAATTCACTACTGAATTCTACAAGAAATTTAGAGAAGATCTAATGTCATTATTTTCAAACTCTTTAAAGAAATTTCAAGGAAAGCAATACTTCTAATGTCACTACTGGAAGCAAGAATTACTTTGACACCAAAACCAGAGAAGGGCCCTAGCAAAAAAAGAGAACTACAAGCCATTCTCCCTAATGAACACTGGCACAAAATCCTCAATAATATACTAGCAAACAGAACACAGCAAATCATCAAGAAGAGTACACACCTTGACCAAGTAGGATTTATCTCAGGGATGCAAGGATGGTTCAACATATGCAAATCATTAAACATAATAAACCATATTAACAGACCAAGAATAAAAACCATATGATAATCTCATAGATGCAGCAAAAGCATTTGACAAATTCCAACACCCATTCATGACAAAAGCCCTATACAAAATTGGAATAGAAGGTCTTTATTTCTATAGATAAAAGCCATTTTTTATCAAACCCACAGCCAACATCATATTGATCAGTCAAAAACTGAAAGATTTTAACTCTAAAATCAGGAACAAGACAAGGATACCTACTCTCAATACTACTCTTCAATATGTTTCTGGAAACATTAGCCAGAGCAATTAGACAAGAGAAAGAAATAAAAGTAATAAAGATAGGAAAGGAACGAGTTAAATCATAATATCTGAAGATGACATGATTCATAGAAGACTCCAAACCCTCCACCAAAGATGTCTAGATTTAGTGACCAGCTTCAGTCATGTAACTCGATAAAATGTCAACACAAAAATCTGTAGCATTCCTGCCGGGCATGGTGGCTCACACCTGTAATCCCAGCACTTGGGAGGCTGGGGCAGGAGGATCCTTGTGAGTTCGAGACCAGCCTGGGCTACAAAATGAGCTCAAGTCCATCCTGAACTGCATAGCGACACCATGTCTCAAAAAGACAAAAAAAAATTATAGCATTCCTCTACACAAATAACAAACTCACTGTGAGAGAAATTGGGGAAACCATGCCTTTGATATTAGCACCCAAGAAAATGAAATACTTATGAATAAATCTAATGGAAGAAGTACTAGATCTTTACATTGAAAACTACAGTACTCTGAAAAAGGAGATCAAAGAGAATATCAGAAAATGGAAAGATATCCCTTGCTCTTGGGTAGGATAGTAAAAATTGCTATACTCACAAAACTGTTATGTAGATTTAATGCAATGCCAATCAAAATACCATGAGCATGCCTCACAAAACTACAGACAACAATCCTAAAATTCATTTGGAGACATAGGAAAAACAATTCTTTGTAACAAAAGAAAGGCAAGGGTCATCATAATCCCTGACTTGAGACTATACTGCAAAAGTACTATGATAAAAAAAAAAAACAACATGGTACTGGAAAAAAAACAGACCTGAGGACCAGTGGAACAGATTACAAGATTCAGAAACACCTCTAAATCCACTCAGCTACCTTATCTTTGACAGAGGGCCCAGACACATTCACTGGAAGAAAGATAGTCTCTCTAATAAATGGTGCTAGAAAAACTGGCTTTCCACATGCCAAAGACCAAAATTAGACCCTTGTCTATCACCATGCACTAAGCTAAAATCAAAATTGATCAAAGATCTAAATATTAAAGCAGAAACACTAATCCTCCTGGAAGCGAAAGTAGGTAGAACTCTTGAAGATATAGGTGTAGGCAAAGATTTCATGAAAAACCCCAATTACATGGGAGAAAATAAAGAGGTTCAACAACTGGGATTTTAAATTATTAAAAAGTGTTTGCCCAGCAAAAGAAATCACTAACAGAGTGAAAATATAACCCACAGAGTGGGAAATATCTTAGTCAGTTTTTCTTCAGACAAAGGGCTAACATCTAAACATATAATGAATTGAAAAAAATAAGATGCCCCAAATTTAAAGACCCAACCCACAAATGGGCATCTGCAATGAATAGGCTCTTCTGAGGAAAAGTACAAACAGCAAACAAATATATGAAAAAATGTTCAACATCATTGGTCATTCAAGAGATGCAAATTAAACAACACTGAGATTCCATTTCACCCCAGAAAAAAATGACTATTATAAAGAAATCAACCAATAACAAATCCTGGTCAGGCTGTGGGGATAAAGGAACTCTTCTCCATTGTTGGCGAGAGTGTAGACTTATGCCACCCTGTGGAATCAGTGTAGCGATTCCTCAAAAAACTAGGATTAGAGGTTCCATTTGATTCAGATATTCCCCTTCTGCATATCTTCCTAGAAGAATTAAAAACATACCACACTGATATATGTGCACCCATATTTATAGTGGCACAATTTATAATAGCTAAATCTTGGAAACAAACCAAATGCCCATCAAATGAGGAATGAATAAAGTTGTGGGGGTTTTCTTTTTCTACAATAGAGCACCACTCAGCGATAAGGATAAACTTGAGACATTTCTAGGTAAATGGATGCACCTTGAGACCATACTCTTAAGTAAAGTAAATGAGACACACATGTGTAAACATCACATTCTTTCTATGGTATGAACTATAACATTCTTTCTATGGAACTGAAAGTGTAAATAAGAACCAAAATATGTAATATGTGAAATAGGAAGAAATTGTTCAAATGGAAAGGGAAATGGTGGGGAGGAAGAAGGGAAAAGGAAAAATAAGACAAAATAAGACAAAATGGAAAGAAACCTTTGCAAATAAGAAGGAAAGAGGAGTTGAGGGGAGTCAAATGGAGAAACTAAGACATACCATGTATAGGTACAAGTTCCCTATTATGAATGTGATCATTATGTATTATCTATTTTTTTCAGGGCTCTTCACAAACAGAATATCAAAAGCCTTTATTCGTAATTTAATAAATTTAGTAATGTAATTGTTTTAAACTGCTAAATTGTGGAATAATTTGTTACATGGCAATAGGTAACTGATACAGAATTCAATACAAATGCATAAAACTTTTATGAAATGTTAATGATTAGCATTAAAGTACATTAAAGAATCATCATGAAAATCCTGAAATGGAAAGTTCAGAAGGAGTTTTTTCTCCCATATATTGTAAAGTTTAACCATTAAAATCAAATGCCTTTTTATAAAAATATAGGAAAATACCTTAAAGGGTATCATTTAAATTGTTTTTTAAACAGACAACCATTTACACAATAGCAAAAGAACAAACAATACAGATTTACAAACAAAGTGGTAGGAAATTAACAATGGTTGTTGTATTATTGATATCTTCAAAGTGGTTTCACAGGAAAACAAATAGAGACATGCAATACTGATCAATGAAGTAATCATTAACTGTTTCTTTTAGCAAAGCAATAGAAACAGTAGTTCAACTATGTTGGCTATCTGTAGATACATACATACACAATTTCCCCTTCTTTCCCTTCTCTTTTCCCACACCACAGTTGCCCTTTACTTTTGAGCATTTTTCTTTCATTTCACAATGTCTTTCATACCTCCTAGTTTTTATTCACTCTTTCAGGTCTTACACTAGTGAGACAATACGGTGCTTACACATGCAAGTCTGATTTATTTCACTTATGAGTATGGTCTCTAGTTGTGACCATTTACCTATAAAAGCCTTGAGTTTACTTTTATAGCTGAGTAATATTCCATTATATAAAAGTACCACAATTGCTTTATCCAATCCTCAGTGGATGGACATTTGGGTTGCTTAAACAATTTAGCAATTACAAATTGTGCTGCTATGAACATAGGTGCACATATATCACTGTGACATTATGTATTACCTAAATTGTACCAATAAACTTCACAAATTAAAAAAAAAAAACAAATCAGGTATTAGAAACTATACAGTAGGCAGTGATAGTGGTGGGTAGCTGAAGAACTGGAGAAGATACAGAATTTGGATTCTTATATATGAGTGCTATAGCAGAAGATACAGTTGGGAATGGTCTCATGATTACTGGATTCATATTATTCATTTAACAGTTAAAAAGATACTGTGGCTAGACTTCTTGCTAAGAGCCATAGAGCTAGTTCACCAAAGAGCTAAACCCCAGGTAGTACTCTTTCCATGCTACAAACAGCTGGTTTTTTACTGTAAGTGGAGTAAGACTAGCAGGTATTAAAATATAGCCATTGTCTTAGAAATCGATTAAATGGTTTGCTTAAAATCAGGAGACCCTGGATCCAGTGGGACACAGCAATTTCAACAAGACAGTTGTATTACAGATTCATACAGTGACTTAAAAAGCTGCAAAGCAATTAAAACATGATCAGATACTGTATGTTCCACTGTTCTTTTCCTTGAAGTGTCTGATTTGCATTATATACACATGGGCACAGATTCTCTAGGGATGAAGGCACACAGGAAAATAGTTTTGCCTTCCTCCAAAAAGAGCAGGAAATTCACTAACCCACAGAAGCAATTTCTAATTGATAAGTTTCTAGCAAAGGTGAAAATTAATTAATCCAAGAAAAGTATGAAATCCTGTTCAGCCATGGCTATAATATCTGTCTTCTAGCGTCCAGATTTTTCGGGCTGCGGATTTAGCTCCACAGCACAGTGCCTGCCTGGCAAGCTCAAGATCGCGAGTTCGATTCCCAGTACCAGAAAACAAACAAACAAAAAATCATTAGAGTCCAGATTTTTCATAGGAAAAATGTAAATGGTTGAATATATTCAATTTATGCATTACTTAAAGCACAAGACCTTGACAGAAGCAGCCCAAGTATTAACAATGCATTTTTATCTCCATGAATCTTATATTGTCTGAAATACCTCAGGTTTAATTTATTAGTCTCCTCATTGTCCTACCTTTGTCTGTTTCTCAGGGGAATCCTGGGTTGCCTGGACTAGATGGAATCATGGTAAGTTGTCATTTACATGTTGAGCTCTCGGTGTTTAGTCAGCAGTCACTGATGTTGCTTTTTTATTCTTCTCTATAGTATTCACAGCACTTACAGGAAAGCTAGAGTTGAGGCAGAACAGGTGATCCATTTATATTTTCCAGAAGACCAGGTACTAAGAGGATGACTTGCCTGACAAGCTTTCAGACTTTTAGGGACCTCCGTGAAGTCATACCCTTCAAGACTCACAGTGGATGCCTAAAACCATAAATAATATCAAACCTTATATATACTGGTTTTTTCCTATACATACATACCTGTGATAAAGTTTAATTTATAAATTAAGCACAGTGGGAAATCAAGTACATAACAATAAAACAAGTATAGTGTTATTCTGTGAAACATGTCATGTGAATGTACTCTTGCTCTTTCTCTCTATCCCTTCCTCCTTCCTTCCATTCCTCTCTTCCTCCCTCTCTTCCATTTTTTAAAAATACCTTATTCACCTTTCTTGTGAAGATATGAGATGATACACTGCCTATGTGAGAATGAAGTGAGATGAATGAGGTAGGTATCGGGGCATAGCACCAGGTTATTACCTAAAGGTTACTTGAACACAAGCATTGCAATACTTTTTCCACTTAATATTTACAAACTGGTTTACTGGGTGTAGCTGAAAGCAGAACCTTGCATAAGGAGGGCTACTGGTTTCCCTAGGATACATTAGGGGAATTCTTACATCATGAAAAGTCATAAGTTATATTAACAAGAGCTTTCTTTTCCCTTGAGATTCCACATTTTCATCACTTTACTTTGAAGTAGACTAAGAATTGTCCCTTCTTTCCTCCTTCTTTCCTGTATTCCTTCCTTCCTGCTTCTCTTTGTTTTATTCAGTCCTGTAGAGCTGATGAGCGCCTATTATCAGCAAAGTGCTGTGAATGATTACTGAGGCAATGTAGACACAGTCCCTGCCCCTAAGGATGTGTAAAACTAATAGTAGTAGTGTATTATAAGGATCCCACAGTAGGATAGATGAAGACATGCTGTTCAGCTAAGAAAGTACAATGGGAGATTTGTATCTGGGAGAAAGAAAGAGCTTCTGAGAAGTATGGATGGTGGGAGGAGTCTTTAGACAAGAAACTAGAGGGATTTCAAGCACACCCCAAAACAAAGATGAGCGATGACCAAAGGCATATAGGTCCCCTAGAGCTAGACAAAACTGGCTTTAATGTTGTGGTCATTAAATTCATAGAATAATATTCACTGTATTTGCTGCATAGCTTCTCTTGGAGATTCATTTCCTTACCATCAAAAGTACAGTGTCTGTCTACTTATCAGCCACAATATGTAAAGGACCTAGAAGAAGGTATTTGGTAGTAAAATAAGAGATTTGTGATCAGTAAGGAAACAACAGTTTGTTGGTTATTTTCAAAGCAGTGTTCATATTCTCATTCACTTGTAGGGAATATTTTACCCCTCTCTTTTCTTCTGTCTAAGTTCTCACCTCTGTTAGATTCTCCTGGCCTCGTCTAGGTATATGTCACCTTCCCCTTGTTCTCTACTGGGTGCATGCCTTACATTTCTCCAATCTTTCTGTTGATTTCACTGCCTTGCTTTTGTATGGTTATTCCGTTCTAAACATTTTCTTATTTCTCTTTTTACTTTTTCTTTGACCCATGATGTACTTGGAAGTGTATTCCTAAATATTTGACAACCTTCCAGCTATCTTTTTTTTTACTTTTACTGGTACATGTTTGCAGTACATAATGATTACATTCACTGTAGGGAATTAGTACATGTATATAATACACTTCAATTCCTTTTCCCCCTCCCCCATCCATTTGTTGATTCTTAGTATTATTTCTTGTACAACTGGAGTTTTGTTCAGAAAGCCTTGCCTACACCTATATCTCCACGATTTTTGCTTATTTTGTCTTCTAACAGTTTGTTTCTGTTCTAATATTTAGATCTTTGATCCATTTTGATTTTAGTTTAGTGCATGGTGACAGATATGCTGTGCATGGTGGTCTAGGTTCAACTTTCAGCATGTGGATAGCCCATTTTCACAACACCACTGTTTAAAGCGACTGTCTTTCCTTGAGCAAAGGGATTTGGCCTTTTTGTCAAAGATAACATAGCTGAGTGTGCCTGGAGTTGTTTCTGTGTCTTCTACTCTCTGCCATTGATCCATAAGTCTTGTTTCTGCTGATATAATGCTGTTTTTATCACTGTATCTTTGTAGCACATGCAACTTGAAGTCCAGGATTGTGATGCACCTGCCTTACCCCTCCTTGTTACCCAGAATTCCTTTCCCATTCTAGTTGTCTTCTGCTTCCATATGAATTTTAGGATTGATTTCTCCAATTACGTAAGGAAGGTTATTGATATTTTGATTTGGATTACATTAAATCTATATAACAGTTTTGGAAGTATGGCCATTGTCACTATATTGGTGCTGCCTGTCCAGCAACAGGGAGTATATTTTCCATTTTTTGATATCCTCTTCAATCTTCTTTTTAAGACTACTGTATAGTTTTCATTCTACAGTCTTTCACTCCCTTGGTTAGGTTAGTTCCTAAGTATTTCATTTTTCTTGGTGCTAATGTGAAAGATATTTTTCCCTAATTTCTCTCTCAGTGAGTCTGTTATTGGTGCATGGGAGCATTATTTACTTTGAGTGCTGACTTCATAACCTGATATTTTATAAAATTTAGATATTAGTTCTAAGAGTCTTTTATTGGAGTTTTGGGGTGTTCTATATAAAGGATCATGTCACCAGCAAATGATGATAATTTAATTTCTTCCTTCCCTCTCCATATCCCTTTTATTTCTTTCGCTTCTTTTATTGCTCTAGCTAAAGTTTTGAGAACTATATTGAAGAGAAGTGGTATTAGCAGATATCCTCGTCTTGTTCCTGATTCTAGGGGGAAAGCTGTAAGCTTCTCTATGTTTAGTATGACGTTAGTCATTGTTTTGTCATAGATGATTTTTATCAGATTGAGATAAAGACCTATTTTATTTTCTTCAGGGTTCTTGTTATGAATGGACGTTGGACTTTCTCAAATGCTTTTTCTCCATCTACTGAAATGATAATGTGATTTTTACCCTTGCTTCTTTTTGTGTAGTGTATGACATCTATTGACTGGCATATGTTGAAACATCCCTCAATCCCTGGGATGAATTGTACTTGGTCATGGTGTATGATCTTTTTGATGATTTGCTGCATTTTGTTTGCCATTATCTTATTGAAGATTTTTGTATCAATGTTCATTTGGGAGATTGGCCTGTACTTTTCTTTTTTGGTTGGGTCCTTTTCTGGTTTTGGAATAAAGGTAGTGCTTACTTCTAAGAATGAGTTCAGGAGTACTGCTTCCCTTTTAACTTCATTAGTTTGAAGATTATTGACATTAGATCTTCTCTAAAGTTCTTGTAGAATTCTGCAGTGGATCAGGAATTCTTCAGGGACCTAGGCTTTTGTTAGTGGATAGTTTTTTTATTACTTCATCAATTTCACTGACTGATAGTGTCTTATTTAGGATTTTTATATCTTCTTGGTTCAGCTTTAGAAATTCACATGGATCTAGGAATTTATCCATTTCTTCTGAATTTTCTATTTTATTAGAGTAAAATTTCTCAATTGTGATTTCACCTTTTTCGCTTCTAGTTACATGGATTTGGGATTTTTTCCCCCCTTATTTTGGTAAGATTGGCGAAGGGCTTGTTTATTTTGTTTAATTTTTCAAAGAACTAACTATTTAATTCATTAATTCTTTGTGTTATAATGTTAGTCTCAATTTCATTAATTTCTGCCCTAATCAGGTAATTCATTTCCTCATATTACCTGTGGGTTTGAATTTCTCTTGTATTTTTAGGACCTTGAGGTTTCCCATGAGGTTATTTACTTGAGCTTGTTCTGTTTTTCTCATGTGGGAATTCAGTGCTATAAACTTCCTTCTTACGACTACTTTCATTACATCTCATAGGTTCCAGTATGTCACACTGGCATTATTGTTTGATTGTAGAAACTGTCTAATTTTTTTTGTTTAATTTCATCTGTGACCCATTGAATAGTCAACAGGGTATTTATTAATTTCCATGTATTTGCCTAATTTGTGTGGTGTCTTTTGCCATTGATTTCTAGTTTCAATACACTATGGTCCAATATTATACATGGGATAATTTTTATTCTTTTGCATTCACTTTATGGGCAACTATGTGGTCTATTTTGGAGAAAGTCCCATGTGCTACTCAGGAGAATGTGTATTCTATTGTTGAGTGGAACATTCTGTAGGTATCTATTAAGCCTCTTTGTTCAAAGATTTGTTTCAATGCTGGCATTTCTTTGTTGAGTTTTTATTCTAGTTGATCTGCCCACTTGTGACAGTGTGTTGAGGCTCTCTGTTAAAATTACGTTGGTGTTTATCTGATTTCTCATGTTGATTACTGTTTGTTTTTTGAAGTTGTATGTGCCAGTATTTGGTCCAGAATATATGTTTATAATTGTTACCTTTTCCTATTGATTTGTTCCCTTAATCAATATGTAGTGACCTTCTTTGTCTCTTTTGATCAGCCTTAGCTTGAAATCCACTCTGGCTGAAATTTAGACAGCATCCTTTTATTTTTAACCTGCAGCTTCTTGAATTGTATCTTATATATGCTCCCTGTATATTCCATATTGTTGGGGAGTTTTCTTGACTCATTCTGTCAATTTATGTCTTTTGATTGGGAACTGAGACCATTCACATTGAGAATTGTTACTGAGAATTATTGACTTATTCCTGTCATTAACTTCTTCATTTTTCCTCTTTCACTTAGCTGCTCATCCTGGCAGGTATACTCACTCTATTTGTCTTTTTTTTTTTTTTTTTTTTTTTTTTTTTTTTTTTTTTTGGTTTTGGTTTTTCTCCGGTACTGGGAACCGAACTCACGATCTTGCGCTTGCCAGGCAGGCGCTTTGCCGCTGAGCTAAATCCCCAGCCCCACACTCTATTTGTCTTAATGACATGGTTGGCTTCGTTGTCGCTTTCAAGGCTATCCTTGAGTATTTTTTGTAATGCTGGTTTGTTGGCCATGAATTTCATGAAGTGCTCTTTCTCATAGAAGTACCTTATTTCTCCATCAGTTTTAAAGGAAAGTTTTGCAGGATACATAAGTTAAAGTTGGAATTTTTCATCTTTTATGGATGGAAAAAACCTTCACTCCCACCCCTTCTGGCCCTTAAAGTTTGTGTAGAGAAGTCTGCTGTGTTCTAATGGGTATCACATACCTTTGCATGTGATTCACTCCCTTTCTCCAACACCTTTTCAGATTTTGTCCCTGTAATGGAATTCTGGAGCTTTGAGTATAATGTAGCATGGAGAGGTTCTCTTTCAGTCATGGCTATTTGGTGTTCTATATGCCTCATTTAATGTATGTTTATTTTTTCCCTATATTTGGGGAGTTTTCTGCCATTATTTTTGTGGACAGGTTTTTTTATACCATTTGCACTATCTTCTGATTTTTCATTTATTCCACTTATTCTTAGGTTGGTCTTCTTTGCATCATGTAGCAGTTGTTGAATCCAATATTTCTCTTGCTTTCTAAGGTGCTTTTGAGTCATTGGTCTTTAAAGCCACCATTGTCTTCTAGTTCTGAAATTCTGTCCTCACATTGTTCAGTATTACTCTCCATAGTTTCGGGCTGGGGATTTAGCTCAGCGACAAAAGTGCCTGCCTGGCAAGCACAAGGTCATGAGTTCAGTTCCTGGTACCGGAGAAAAACCAAAAAAAAAAAAAAAAAAAAAAACTAGTTTTTCTCCATAGTTTCAATATGGTTTTTAATCTCCTGAATTTCTGATTGAAAACTTTTGATGAACTCTTAATTTTTTGTTAAACTAGTAATTCATGTTTTGTATCATTTTGTTTAGCTCATCTAGCTTTTTATTAGAATCTTCTGGGAGCTCCTGCAACTTTTATTACTGTTTAGTGATATCTTCTCCCCTGAGTATCTCTTTGAGCTATTTTCTGATCTCCTCTGCTATTCTTTCAAGTAATTCAGATGTGTGGCTTACACTATTCTGCCCCTCAGTGCCCCCTGGACTGGCTCTGGGCAAGTTGTGACTTTGAGGAGATAGTTTGTTGTCTTTTCTTCCCTTTTTTAAATGTTGAGTATTTAGGCCACTCTATGGAAATATCACAGTTTATTTATCAATCCTTGTATGAAAGAATACCTGGGGCATTTCCAATTTTGACTATTATGATTAAGGTTGCTATGAACATTCTCATATGGATGTATGTATTTCATTTTTCTTGAGAAACTGTCTTGCTTTCTGACCTTGGGAAAACTTGCTTCTCTAGGGACCACAGGGACTACCTGGAACTCCTGGAGACACAGGGCCTATAGGATCACCAGGACTGCAAGTAAGATCAATTTAAATCTAATATGTAAACACAGTATTTGCATGACTGTTTTTTTCACCATGCCATGTGTTAAATGTAAGCTTATATAATTTAGGCCCTCTTACTGGAGGAAAACTTTCATTCCTGGAGTATTAAAATGAAAGATACTCTTCCTATGAGCTAGTGGTTTTATTTATCAGTCTTTCTGACCATCCAGTTTGTACCTTTATATCCTCCTGGTCTAACTCAGAGTATAGTAAAGGAATGACAATTGCCTCATACTTCGATTGCCACCTTCACCCACAACAGATATTACTAATCAATCATACCATCACCTACCTTGAACACTGAGAAGGTTCAAAATTCTTCTAAGAAGTGTGCCTTGGGCAGCTGTACCTACCTACTTCCTATTTTTCTAATATCAAATCTATTTATCACTAGTGTCAAAAGAGCATAGCCAGTCATCTCTGCAGTCCTGGGAAAGTCCTGTCCCCAGACTGTTCTCTGCAATACATGGGTTCCCAGAACTTGTTATTTTGTCTTAGCTTCACTGAGCCACCACTTTATAATTTCTGACCTGTTTGAAGAAATGAAAAGAAGTCTTCACTACATTAGCATGAATCTGGCTACCCAGTCAAATTGGAAATTTCAAAGAGATAGAATCTCCTGGGAAGAGCTAGAGTCTGTTGTATTGAAGCCAGTTTACACCAAGCAGGTTGGGGCCTTATCCTTAATGATTCCAGGCATGCTCTAGCTCTTTGAGATGTAAAGTAACAAGTGGTAACTCTTTTCCTTCTATTTTTAACTTAGGGTCCTCCAGGCCTCCCTGGTAACCCCGGTCCTGATGTAAGTATACTTTGTCTTGTGGTAGTTTGTCTCCTCTGCCACTAAGTAATCTGGTTTCTCCAGACATACTGATTTGGTCAAATCTACTTTCTGGTAAAGAAAAAATACTGCATTCCAACTTAAATTCTTGGAACTGGTTGTTAGTAATTGCTTTTGTTTTTCTTCCCTGTACTGCTGTGCCCCAGGGCAATATGGGGTTAGGTTTCCATGGAGAGAAAGGAGTCAAGGTAAGTAGATTTTACCAAATACAGTCTGCATTGCATATGCTCTAAGAAACATTTTTAATCACACATATGTGCCTCGTTGTGTAAGAGGATGTGGGTTTTCACTTTAGGAAATGGGCATTTTCTTTTTTTTTTTTTTAAGTTAGAATATTGAGTTTATTGTGCATATAAATATACAGTTTCTGAAGCAAGTGGCTTCAAACTGAAAAGACTGAGTCCCTTACATGTTGTGCACAAAAAAGGGCATGGAAAGTTAAAAGCATACAATTTTAATAGAGTAATATTTGAAGAGTGTATCAACTTTTTTTTTCTTTTTTTTTATTTTAGAAATAAAAGGAGGAAAATACTAAGAGACTGACAACATTTTACAAAATAGCAAAGGATCAGTACAGACATTACAGAGTTACAAACAGAGTGGTAGGGAATTAACAATGCTTATTGTATTACATATTGATATCTTCAATGTAGTTTCTCATGAAAACACATATAGACATACAAAGCTAATCAACCAATGCCTCACTGACAGTTTCTTTCAGCAAGGAAATACAGGACAGTAGAACACCTGTGTTAACTATCCTGAATATACATATATACAAACTTTCTCCTTCTTTCCCTTCTCTTTTCCCATATTCCAGTTATCCTTTACCTATGAGTGCTTTCCTATCAATTCCCAATGTCTGTCATATCTCCTAGTTTAAATGAACTCTTTCAGGCTTTACACTAGAGAAACAATGCGATGCTTGCACATGTATGTTTGATTTATTTCGCTTATGAGTATGGTCTCTAGTTGTGACCATTTGCCTATAAAAGCCTCGAGTTTATCTTTCTTTACAGCTGAGTAATATTCCATTATATAAAAGTACCACAATTTTCTTATCCAATCCTCAGTGGATGGACATTTGGGATGCTTCCACATTTTAGCAATTACAAATTGTGCTGCTATGAACATAGGTGCACATATATCACTGTGATATGATGTTTTTAGATCTTCTGGGAAAATACCCAGCAGGGGGATAGCTGGGTTGAATGGGACCTCTAGACCTAGTTTTCTGAGGACTCTCCAACCTGATTTCCACAGTGGTTTCACCAGTCTGCATTCCCACCAGCAGTGGAGAAGGGTTCCTATTTCTCCACAGCCTCGCCAGCATTTGTTATTGGTTGATTTCTTAATGCTAGCCATTCTTACTGGGGTAAGGTGGAATCTCAGTGTTGTTTTAATTTGCATTTCTCGAATGACTAATGATGTTGAACATTTTCTCATATATTTATTTGCCATTTGTATCTCCTTGTCTGAGAAGTGTGTATTCATCTCCGCTGCCGAAATGGGCATACCCAATTTTTAGAAAAAAATATTTATTTTGGTTCATGGTTTCAGAGATTTCAGCTGGTAGTCAGCTGTCTCCAAGCAGAAGCATAGTAGAGGAAAATTACTCACTTTGTAGCAGTCTAAAAACAAAGAAGATTTGGAACAGGCTGAGAGAGGGGAAAGGGCCAGAGACAAGAATATATCCTTCTAGGTTATATCCCCTAATAGTCTACTTTCTCCAACCAGGCTCACCTCCTAGCCACACATTCAGTTATGAGCTCATTGATCAGGTTAGCAAGCCCAGGATCCAATCGCCTTCCAAAAATTCATCCTCTGAATACATGAGTCTTTGCAGGGACATTCTTGATCCAAAACCTCACACTATCTCTATTTCTCTATCTCTCCTATTTCCCTTCCTTAGCCTCTCTTTCACTATTCTCTCTTATTTCCCTCCTTCATTTCCTTCTATACAAACTGTATGGTGATTTGGGTACTTACCTCCCCGTGACTGGTTCTTGTAGATTTCATTGCCCTGTGAAGGAGCAACTCTAGCCTACAATGTTCCAAAACACACTTCACTTTGCTTTATGTTCTTTGCAAATATAGGACCAATTGAGTGTTGTCATTGTTACCAAGCGGTAACAATTCACCTTGTTCAACCCACTTTTTGGCTCTCTTTTAAATACCCCTTTGTGCATGACCATGGCAACAATGAATTTGTGGTTTCCTTTCATTGTCTTGTTTCTTCTCTCTGCAGTGCTGATACAAGATGCATTGTCCAGGCTTATAATTCTTCTCACTCTTGACAGTGAGGGTTTTTGTTTCCTCAGTGGTGTAAGGAAGAAGGGGCCAAAGTAATGGATAATTTCTTCGTCAATTACATCCAGAAAATAAACCTTCCTTCTGCAAAAATGGTCTGCATGGTTTATCTTTTGGTTAATGTTCCCTTTGATTTTACAGGGGGATGTTGGCCTCCCTGGCCCCGCAGGACCACCACCATCTACTGGGGAACTAGAATTCATGGGAGTTCCCAAAGGGCAGAAGGGATCCAAGGTAGTAAACATGTACTATTAATTAGCCCTTTCTATCAATATCAGAATTCAACTGTAACAACCAGACTCTTCCAAAAGGATTCAAAGTTTTGAGTAGCACATTTATATTTGGAAGTAAGGGTTAAAAGCCTTTGTTTTATTTTGACTCTTGCAAAAAGCTTTCTAAAAAGCCTAAGTATGTTTTTTGGTGTGTAGGTGTGAGTATGCCTGTGTTCTGAAGTATTCACATAAGTGCTATTTTCTCTGTTTTACCTTGCATATTCAATTTTTGATATGCTGAATAACTTGAACACCAGATAGTTGAGTTTTTCTCTTGCAACTCTCAAACCACTTAAACCTCTGTCCTCATTGCACTATGACCAAAATCTGTCTTAGTCACTTCCTCCTCGCTGGGACACAATACCCAACAACCATCACTTAAAGGAGAAGAGGTTTATTTTGGCTCACAGTTATAGTCCATACTCGCTGGCTCAAGGACAGAACAGCATGCCAGAGGGCCATGAAAGAGGAAAAGCTGCTCCCTTCATGGTGTTCAGGAAGCAGAGATACTGCACAGGGAGATGAACCTTTCCAGATCATTCCCTCAGTGACCCACCTCTTCCTAACAAACCACATAGCATATAAACGATTCCTTTTGAATTATCCTTTTGAAGAAGTTATTTGCCCTCAAAAGTTGACCCGACAATTAGGATATATGACCAAGTGTCAGCAAATGCCTCAATTCACCTGAGATTAACTACCAAGGCTCAAGCCGTGGACTACTTTACCTGAACTATCTTATAACTTGTATTTTTGTGTGAATGGATGCATAATATATACATGGTTGTGTTTGAGTTGCTCTATTCTGTTTAGTAACCTGCATTTCCTTCTTTCATGGGGCTCCTTTGAGTTTTTGTGAGTCTGTTGCCATGGTTAAGAGGCATAGGAGGGAAATATGCTTGGTATCACTCTTTTAATATGGTCTTTGTGGAAGTAACAGCTCCAGGTCCTTCTAGGTTTACAGAAAATAATAACTGATTTGGAAACAGTCTCTGAATGTATGAGATTATCTGACCCTTTCTTTGATCATTCCCAAGCCTAAAGGAGCCTTTCCATGGCACAGATAGGTAAATTAACATATTAGGGAAAGAAAGATTAACATGTTATATGTCCCTATCTAAATTTTTTGTTTGTTTTCCGGTACCGGGAATCGAACCCATGACCTTGCACTTGCCAGGCAGGCGCTGTGCCGCTGAGATAAATCCCCAACCCCTATGTCCCTATCTAAATTGTCATTGTTGTCCTAATTATTATCCTTTTCCCAAAACCACTGACTTTTCTGCAGCCAGTATTTTGCTATGACAAACCAAAGTGAACAGCCTCTTCCAAAAGAAAAACAGATAATCATCCTTTGCATCTCCCATTAGCCTGTATATTTGAGATTCTATTTCGAACACTCATGGATGTTGCTCCTTCCCACATCGCAAAGAGCTCCTTAAACTAAAGCATCCCAGTACAGCTGACAGTTGGAGAGCATGGCGATCTATAACCCTACCTGGTGCTCCAATCCTATTATCCATTGGTTTCGCACTCCTCAGCCCAAATACTGTGAATGGAGCCATCCTCCTTTGTGTTCACCATTTCTCACTGCTACTCACCAGCCTTTGATTAATTTTCCAGGGTGAACAAGGACCTCCAGGTCTCCCAGGAGTGACTGGCCCTTCAGGCTTCCAAGTAAGTCTTCATACTTGGTTAACATGTATTCAGGGACCTGACTGGACAAAAGCTGTAGCACTGGGATGCGAACGAGAAGACCTCTTCCTACAGTTATTGGAGAGAATGCTACAATCACTATTACAATATTTTTAAGAGAAGGTTCTTGTTTCTTGAACTTGCAGGGATATTAACATGTTTTTCCACAGGGTTATATGTCTTAGAGGTTATTGACTCAAGATCTAGGGTTAGAACAGATCTAGGATTAAAAAAAAAAAAGAACAGATCTAGGATTGACTTTTGGTTTCATCATATTCTAGCTTTTTAAAAAATTTCTTAGGTTTCTGAGTTTCAGTTTCCTAACCTACTAAAAAGGGACAATGATAGGGTAGTTTTGAGGACTAAATGAGATGCTATTCATAAAAAGGATTTCATATATGCCTGGCACTTATCAAGTGTTCAGTAAATGGTAACTATTCTTGGTAATCCTATCTTCGCTTTTGTTTCTGCCTTTTTAGCTTAGACTCCTTCACTCAACAAATACCTTTTGAGGATTCCTATATGCTATATATTTTGCTGGCCTTGGAAACTACAGCAGTAACTAAGTAAAAGTTCCTGTCCTTGAGATTACATTCTAATGGGGAAGTGAAAGGTGACATGGAAAGTAAACAAGAGATGAGTCTCATTAAGAATGCCCTGGTAGTGTTGCTCAATGGTAAAGTGCTTGCCTGGCATGCATGAGGCCCTGGTTCCATCCCTAGTACCACAAAACAAACAAACATGTTTATGTAATGGTGACATGTGAAAGAAAGAAAACAGGTAAAGTTAGGGAGTTTGGATGGGGAATAGGATAGGCCACTGGGGATAGAGTTGTCAAAAGGACCCCTGAGGATGTGATACATGAACTGACACCTGCACATTGTGCGGGAGCAAGTCATATGAAGATCAGAGAGTTTGGTGGCAAGATCTTTAGGTTGGAAAAACCTCACTACTTTGGAAGAACAGCAAGAAGGACAGTGGGCAGGACAGAATGAGTAACTCCAAGCAATAGGCAGAGATGCAGGAGCCAGATCATGGCCAGTTTTGAAGGTCAAACGTGGCCTTTAAGGGTACTAGGAAGCCATTCAAATGCTCTGACTTGTATTCTTAAGCTCACTCTGGTTGAGTGGGGAAGCGGGGTGGAGCAGAAAACAGACTACTGCAATAGCCCAAGCAAAAGATGACGCCGTGTCATGGACTGTGGTCATAGCAATGGAGAATGGACCAAAGTGGATAGATGCAAAATGCAAATGTATGAAACCTTTTATTATGGAACATTTCAAACATATACAAAAGCAGAGAGAATAGCATAAAGATCCTGCTATATACCCATCACCCTGCTTCAACAATTGGCATGGCAAACCTAGGGCAAATAGTAGACACATCATTTCATCATAAATACCTCAGTATTTTAGAAGACAGTGAATTTTAAAAAACATAGTGGCCATATTATCATCAGTAATTATCAGCAGTTATTTAATATCAGTTAACAAGGCAAAATTCAAATTTATGATTGTCATATATATCCATATATTCTTACAGGTGCTTTCTTTGAATGAGAAAACAAATAATACCAATACATTAAATTTTACTGATGTATCTTAAATCACAGAATGTGTTTTGAAGAAGACACTGACAAGATTTTCATAGACTAGGGGTAGGGATGAGGAGGAAAATGGATTAATCAAATATGACAAGGTCTGGCCCTGCTTGCTGGCACAGTGGGGTTACCTGGCTCAAACATTTTGGGTTTCCCTGGGTGTCCAAAAAGCAGAACCCGGGAAATCAGTGGCACAGGTTGCTTCCAGGAACATCTTTATTACTCCGTCGAAGCAAAGGGACATAGAGAAACATTGTTCGGTGCCCTTGATTTTAATCAGCTCTGTAGCTAATGAACAGAAAAGAAGAGAAGCTGGGTATTGGAGACGAACACCCAGACATGTCCAACCTTTTGGCTTGCTTGGACTGCACTGAGTGAAGAAGAATTATCTCGGGCCACATACAAAATATATAATATAGTTTATGTATATAAGTAACAAAATTCCTTTTTATATTTTTAGTATAATTTTTTTTAAAACAAGGTCAAGAGACATGTAAGCAACAAGGTATATATGATTGCCAGGGACCCAGCTCCAGCTCGAGGATTTTGACAAATTGCTGAACCTCCCTCTGAATATATGCAAACATGTCAGGGATCATATCGACTGTTCTGAGGCCAAACACAATATATGTGAAGTTTCTTTACAAAATGTAAAACTGCTGCCATTAAGGTAACCAGTAACCACATTCGATTACTGATCTTTGCAAATGTGGCTAATCTGAAATGGGATGTACTGTCATTATAGAATCCATACTGGATTTCAAAACCTTAACGTGAAAAAAATAGCTTAAAATATCTAGGGAACAATTTTTACTTGCATGTAAAAATGACAATATTTAAGATATATTTGGGTAAAAAAAAATATATCATGAAATTAATGTCTATTTTACTTTTACAATGTGGCTACTAGAAAATTGAAAATGATATAGTAGCTCATGTTATATTTTTAATTGACAGCACTTTGCAAGTGCATTTGGGAGTAAGGTTAGCACCTTTCTTTGTAGACCACTTCACATAGATTCTTGTCCGCTCATGACATCCCTGTGAGGTAAGTGAGCTGAGCCTAGGCTTATCCCTCAGGAAAACACAGCCAAACACATGAAGAGGCTCCTCCAGAGTTGCTCAGCTTGTCATTAGCAGAGCTGAGACTGACATTCAGCTCTGTTAAATTCTAGCCAGTTCAGGGGTTTTACCCATACCATGCTGCCCCCTACAGTCCAGTTCATTCTAGTCAGAGCAGTGGTGATATTTTGGACTCAGTTTTTAAAAGATTTTATGATCACCTCTGCTGTGCTGGGATTCACTAGCTCATGTGGACGACCTCCCCTTTGCTTCAGTTCAACCTCAAAGGAGCTCCTCTGCTGCAGTTTCGACGCACTCCCTTTTGTCTTGCAGAAGAAACAGGCCGGCAGAGGACGATGCACTCTGGTTCTTGCAATACCATTTCAAGCTCTGTGTTTTCAGTTTCACAGTGAGGAGTGGAAAATAGAAACCCCAGTTGTGAAGACATCAAAGCTGGACAGTATCTCCTTTTATACAAAACAGCATATTTTCATAAGGTTGACACCAAGAAATCTGTGGTCTCAGCCCACTTTAACACAGATATGATGTGTGACCCTGGCCAAATCATGTAACTCCTTTGCTCTAATATCTGTCTGCTTAATTGGAACATTTTTTGGTGCCTTATGTGCTTTGCAGAAAAGTTATGAGGAGAAAGGTGATGAAATATGTGAGGCTTTCAAGACCTTTTGGAGGAAACACGCTTCTCAAATCCAAAGCCCTCGCATCGGCTTTCAATTATCTGTGCTCACTGAAAAACAGGGCTGTGCTAAGGACGGAAATCTCCAGGGAATTCAAAATGTTCCCTTTAACCATTTGTTTCTTTCCTATCTGAGCCCGAATCTTTGCAGAAGACAAAGTGTCCAATCCGGGGGATTTATGCCTCACATTCTTTCTCTTGCTCCGTCAGCAGTGGCCAAATATCTCCGATTTTCTGGCTCAGTCTCAGCTTTGCACATTCCATCCCTTTGTCCCCAGCAGCACTCTCATGCTTGTAAGCCACAGTTCGTTCCACGGAGGTCGTCAGAGAGAACTGTATATCCCTATGCCCTCCACCCAAGGTACCAGCAAACAGAGAGGAAAGCAAACTGGATGAAATGAGGGGAGGGAGAAGAGAATAAACTGGTAAATCCTTGAAGTAGTTGCTGAGTAGATCTGAAATAACTGCTAAGTAGGTGGGATGTCCTTCGGTGAAGTTTCCCTAAAACCAAAAAGTAAAAAGAGCCCAGGGTCCAGGACGCCAGACCTGGAAAGCGCTAACCTAGTGTTTAATGTAGCTTTCTGGGCCAGGGGCAAGTATGAGAGCATCCAGTGCAGGTTGCAGGATCACTCATATCAAGGGCCAACTGTGACAGGCTGGTCCCAGGACATCTTGCTAGAACAGATTGTTCAGTAAGGTCCCTGTACAGTAACTCCCCATGCTAGAAGACAGGCGGAGCCTACAGCACAGTGTCCTGGCAAGCCATTTATCTTCTATTGGCTCTGATCCACACATACGTTTCTTTCTTTTATTTTTTCCTTCATACATTTTCCACTTTTTTACTTTAGTTGCTAGTGTGACACAAGCTCTCAGACTCTCCCTGAGAAAGCAAGAATGCAAAGTCTCTCTGCTTCCTAAAGAAATGCAAAGCTCTCATATTTTTAGCTATGGCCAAGATAGGCAGGGTTATGAGAATGTTCCTGAATGTTCTTTCCTTTCTCCTTTGACACAGTTTTATTCTCTAGATCATTGTTCCATTCAGTTCAACCAGTATTTGCTGCACTGTCATGTGTGTGTTCAGACAGTAGTACCATGCTTTGGAGGGAAACAAGAGGGTGTGATAGAGAACGTCTGCTTACAAAGCTTTCATGGCCAATCTTAGCGGTTTAAGAGTTTGAGGCAGCACCAGCTGCCATAGCTTTCACAGACAGATTAGGGAAAGCTGTTTGAAGAGTTCACTGTCAGAGGCCGACAAGACACATTCCACCAGGGGGCAGCATGTCTTAGTTTCCAATTGAAAAATGTAGAAAGCTAAAATTTCAATAAGTTTGCATTCAGTTTATCTCATAGTCTTTCAAATTAGAAATTCCACTCATCATGATGGCTGAGCTATTTGACATACAAGTGTTAGTGTAGAAAAGAAACGAGGCAAGTAGAAACCAAAGCCTGCTTTGAATTTGAACTCTTCACAGACACGTACCCTTCCCACTAAATAAATAAATCAAATCCATGGACCAGAAAACCAGGGAGTATTCAACCAGCTTTCAGTACCCACTGGAAATGTATTGAGCACATAAAAGGAAGGAAAAGCTATAAATGGGACTAGAGCAGTGGCCTCACACCATATGAGCCCGGTCACATGGAGAGGACAACAAGAGATGTGCCATGACATTTAGTGTCTTTTCACAAGCTTACATTTGGTACAGCAGCACTACCTCCTCTGCTCTTACAATAGGTCTAAATATTCTCTGCCAAAATCTGTGCTCTGAAGGTGAGAACCTTAAGGTCCCAGTATAGAGCCATAAAGTTCTACACCATGCCTTGCTAGAAATACTCCTTCCCATAGGAAAGAATGTAGTCATCGTGTCTTAAAAGGGAAAAAAAAGTCTCTCCAGTATCTACTTCCAAGGATATGCACAGTACTCCATCGGTGTGAAAAAGTCAAGTTTCTAGGTGGTGGAAGGCACGCAGTTCTCATAGAAAGGGCCCTGGAGTGGAAGTCAGAAAACCCATCTTTCTCATTGATCTAAACCTTCTGTATTAGTTTCTTGATCTGTAAAATCAATAAAATTAGATATTTTATTATTCCTGATTCATGATGCTATAAAAACATTTAGTACTATTGTAGTAGAAATGAGATTACTTCTGGAAACAAAGAGGAAAGTTGAATGAATGGTCCAATGTGCTTTTTAGACACTGACAACAGACTCAGCCGACTATGCCTCCCTAACAGGACAGTGGAGCTGGCTTGAAATTACCACTTTCCATGGAGCCAAGAGACCTATGAGAAAATGAATGTTACAATTTGTGGTTTCCTTTTTCCTTTAGGAATTGGGATCTACTGGAGGAAAAGGAGAAAAAGGAATCCTTGGTTTGCCAGGACCTAGGGTATGAGCTTGGAATGTTTCTGTCTCAATCTGTCGAGTCACTTAGTCTGTTTTCCTTCCTGTTTAGTCCTTTATGTTATATAATCTGATAGCCACCTAAACCTCTTTATTTCTCTTCATCAGCTCTTTGGCATGTTTCTAAGAGCTCTTCTTTCCACTTGGCTCAATTCCTTTGACTAAGTGGTTCCCTTGAACAAGATATGAGGTACCACTTACTGAGGGTAGCTCCTCTGCCTATTTACTCCCCTTGCCTTCATGTATACCTATCTTCTGAGCTAAAAAATATTGTGAAAATTGTCTGGCTTTCCATCCCATTCTATTCCAAGGGAATATGGACAAGAGGCTGATGTAGTAATGCAGAAATTTCTATAAGATAGAAACAAACCTGGGAAGTTTTAAAATATAGTAATGTTTAGTACCAACAGTTTCCAACAATAATCTCACCTTGAGTGGAAGTAATAACAGCCTCTCTGATTCTTAGTCGGGCACTTAAATCTTGAGCAACAAGCAGGTAGCCAATCTTAGTCTTGAAGAAGTAACATTTTAGAGAATTGTGTTTTTAGCTTGCCCATGAGATTTATTTAGAGACCTTTTGAGTATTAATTCACCCATTACCATGCCATTTCTTTCTCTACTTTTTCCTCTCTGTTGTCTTAAAAACACGTAATCACCAACAAAGTATATATTTGGGTGGAAGACAAGAGACCCTCTCATAATCTATTCAAAAATCTAACTTGGAACTAACGCAGACTAAGTGTAGTACCACCAGCCCTTCTACTAAATTCGACCTACCACTTAAGATATTTTCCATTTACGTAGCTTTAAAAATGTTTCATAGCCAGGCATGGTGGCACATACCTGTAATCCCAGCATTTGGGAGACTGAGGCAGGAGGATTGCCATAAGTTCAAGGCCAGCCTGGGCTACATAGTAAGTTCAGAGGAAGCCTGAACTGTACAGCAAGACCCTGTCTCAAAAAACCCAAAAAAATAAAATAAAAATGTTTCATGTGGCTATTCAGCCTCATGCATTAGTGCTTAGAAAGAAGTCATTAAGCTAGTCTCTTAGCTGACTTTTAGAGCCAGCTCATTTAGATAACTTCATTATGTAAGTTCAGTAGCTTTTTCTAGTGTAGGTTATTAATCTTTCTAAGTGTGGTTATTCTCTTCACAGGGTTCTGTGGGTTCAGAGGGAGTGCCAGGTCCTCCAGGGACAAAGGTATTTTGGTTAATATCAGTAAATCCTTCATACACAAAATGTTAATTTAAAATCCCCTTTGCTTTACATAACATGGCCAAATGGAGACACTGCTTATAATGAAAAATTTTTCACCTTCCTTTAATAATGTAGTCTTGTAATCTTAGCCACTCTTATTTTCCCCCAAGAGGATAGGAATTCAGTGTCACACATGAAATGTAGTAATGTATCTTTGACATATTATCAAGGGCTAGCAAGGCCAGCCTGCTTATATCCATTAGCCTTGTTGTCTTTCTACCTCCTAATATGCAAGCTGACTACTAGCAGCATATCGCCTTTTGCAAGACTTTATAGCTTCCAAAGTTAGAAGCTGGGCCAGGGATATAGCTCAGTGGCACAAGCACCTGCCTGGCAAGCACAAGGTCCTGAATTCGATTCCCAGTACCAAAATAAAATAAAAAAGTAAAATAAGCCGGGCATGGTGGCACACACCTGTAATCCCAGCACTCGGGAGGCTGAGGCAGAAGGATCTTTGTGAGTTTGGGACCAGCCTGGGCTACAAAGTGAGCTCAAGACCAGCCTGAACTGCATAGTGAGACTCTGTCTGAAAAAAAAGTCAGAAGCCATGAATACCGTCCTGAATGCCAGCCAAGCTCTCTGTGCTATTTTCCCGGGCCTAATCTAAGGACAAGCCTCTCTTTTGAATTTAGCAATAACTATATTTCTGTCACAGGGCAAGAAGGGGTCTCCAGGTACTCCTGGGTTTAATGGATTCCCAGGAATTAAGGTAATGTTGGGAGGTAAAAATCTAGGGTTAGGGGGTGGAAAGGTGAAGAAGTCTACATATGAGAGGAAGTGCTTTTATTTTGATGTTTTATATATCACTCTTTTCTCAAAAAAATGCATGCAATGAGCTTGGAACACACAAAGTTGATGATCATTCCTCAGGTACTACCAACTTTTAGGTTTTATTACTCTTTTTAAATTCCCTCTAGATAATATGTCCCCTATTGCCAGACAGCTCCTAGCACCTATTGTGGGTATTCCTTTGCATCTGATTCTGGTACCTGAGTCTCCCTTTTGGGAAACAGGGACTCCTTTGACTTCAGGTGTCTGACATCATTCACCAACAAGGACAGTAACGCTAGCATAAGGCTGGTCCTGTTAAGAGTGGGAAACGTTGACATTCTGTACTTCCTTAACACTCCTTAGATACAGCCAACTTGCCTGTGCCTGGGCTATATTTCCCAGGCTCAGAAGAAGAAGGCCTTAACTGGCGTTGCAAAATAAAATTGGGATTCCTTGTCCTTGATGGGTTTGCAATTGCATGTCAAGCCTCTAGCCTGCCTTGTGTCTCTTTCATCTCCAATTTATTGCACTTTGAAATTAAGTAATCCCTTGACTAGCTTATCCTGCAAATCAAGGGTCACAGAAAAAGAAACTTTTCATTTTTCTGGGTACTGGCTTTGATAGCACATAAATCTTGTACAATGAAGTCACAGAAATATTTGTGTTTAATTTAATCTTTGCAGGGCGAAAAAGGTGGCGTTGGCCTGCCAGGCCCAGATGTCTTCACTAGTGCAGATGGGGCTGTGATCCCAGGTAAAACTCTTCATTGATTTGACGAGAGAATAAAAGACAAGGAATTAAATTCAATATCCCCTGTAATTTTAAAAAGACACATTGTCAACCACTGGATTACTGATACTACCAAGGACTTCTCATGGGTTCTGAGCTTGGAGAATGAAGCAGATTCCAATCTCTTGGGCAGAGAAGCCAAACCCAGCCTCCTACTTTTATGCTGGGTCCATCAAGACTAGACTTTCAATCTGCCTGGGCCTGAGTTGGGCAAAAATGATACTCCTGGTTATGCTTAGAGAAAGATTAACATCCTCCCGAGTCTGACTAGCTTCAGCCCAATACTACGGGATACATAGGGTCTTATATAAATGATCCCATGCATGTTCAAGCTTAAAAATTTCGTAGAAAGCAGGAAAACATCTTTGGCTAAGGGGCTAAATTGTTGAGAGTCTTTAACCGTATGATACTTAGAAAGTTTGTGGTTTCCTCTTCTTTACCTAGTTACTGGGCATACCAAACTCTTCCCTTTGTCTTCTCCAAAAATTCAGATTCTCAGTGTCTCCAGCTACTTCTCGCTTGGCCAAAGGCTTCTATTATAGTCCCTGTTCCACCTGAGTTTCCCAAACTTATTCCTCTGCTCTCATCATATCAGATCCATGCCCTGTCTGACTAATAAAGAGTTGACAGTGGCTTCCTGTGTCCCACTCCCAGGAAACCTATGTGTATAATATACATAGTGGCCTTCCACATCTTAACCCAAATGATGAACATTACAGATTAGTAGTAGTAAAATCCTCCCTAATATGTAACAGGTCTTATCATGAAAGGAAAGTCCTGACCAAGCCAATTCTGAACACTAGTAGACCCTTAGCTCCCATAGGCCCGTTATCACTATTAGCATTTGAGAGACCTAGAAAGGGCAAGAAAGAGTCTTCCAGTCCCAGAACAGCTGTCTGGATCATTTCTTGGGAAATTTGTGGCACTGTGGCTCTCCACTTTACCACTTTTTTTTCATCATAATTCCAGGTTATCCTGGAGACCCCGGTGTTCCAGGACACCCAGGTTTGAAAGGAGATGAAGGCATCCAGGGCCAACGTGGCCCTTCTGGCATCCCTGGCCTTCCAGCCTTACCAGGTGAAGCAAACTAACCCATCCTTTGCACATATCAGTCCTCTATCACTCTTGTTCCTAGCATTTCCTGCTACACCTGTAGATTGGTTCTCCCATTGCCAGCCCAATGCAACATATGCGTGGATAGTGCTTTGGTATGTGAGTCCTACGTGAGCTTTTCTTTGACTCAAATGATGTGTTATAGTTGGACAGACAATTCCAGACTTTCATTGAGGTTTTCAACTACCAGAGGTCTGAACTGGGCAGCTGGAGCCCTGTCTTTCTTCTGTGAATGTGCCATCATAGCTAATGCTTGCCAAGAGGGTCTAATGAAAACCCAGGTCTAATTTATACCCAGACCTTCAGTCTAGGCTTAAATCAGGCACTAAATGGTCCCAGGATCCTATGGGTGACACCATTGAACCAATCATCAGAGGGGCATTTTCATATGTCCTTTCATAGTGGCAAGCAGAGAAAGACCATGCTAGAATCTAGAGGTGGGGCTACCCCAAACATAAAAACTGACATTACTTTTAAAGTCCCTGGTTTCTGAATTTCTTGTAGATGAGCCTCTTTAAGGATATCTGTTTTTTAAATGCTGGAGAGGATGTGGGGGAAAAGGAACTCTTCTCCATTGCTGGTAGGAGTGTAGATTAGTGAAACCACTGTGGAAATCAGTTTGGAGATTAGAAGTCCCACTTAACGCAGCTGTTCCTCTTCTGGGTATTTTCCCAGAAGAATTAAAAACACCACACCACAGCCATATATGTGCACCCATGTTTATAGAAGAGCAATTTGTAATAGCTAAATCTTGGAAACAACCCAAATGCCCATCAACCAAGGAATGGCTAAAAAAGATGTGGTATTTTTATCCAATGGAGTATTACTCAGCTATAAAAAAGATAAACTCGAGGCTTTTATAGATAAATGGATGCAACTGGAGACTATACTCATAAGTCAAATAAATCAGACTCACATATGTAAACATCATATTGTCTCCCTAGCATAAGAACCTGAAAGAGTAAATAAAACCCAAAATGCACAATAGATAATATGAAAGGGAAAGAAATTGCTCAAAGGAAAGAACAACTGGGATGAGGAAAAAAAAAAGAGAGAAAGAAGGCAAAAAAATGTATATATATATGGATAGCTGGGCTAACTGTACTGCTGATGTCTGGTGGTTTATTGAAAGAAACAGTAAATGCTTAATTTTTTTGTATTTTGACCAGTTATGCATGCTTATATCTGGTAATTTGAGCAACTGATTTGAAGACAACAATATGCAATATAACAACCTTTGGTGAATTCCTACCATCTTGTCTAGTAAAACTGTATTGTCTCTGTTTTTTTAATTATTATTTTTTTATTCTCTTCGATGGTTTGATCAATCTTCCATTCTTACATCTGGTAATCTAAGCAACTTCGTTGAAGATAAGAATATATAATATAACAACCACTGCTAATTCCTATCATTTTGTTTTGAAACCCTGTACCACTTTTAATGTTCATGCTTTGTTCTGTTTATATCTATGATGCTGGCGTTTTGCTATTGTTCTTTTTTCACTATTCTCTTTAAAATAAAAATAAGTATATAAAATAAACACTTTAAATGCAAAACATAAAAAAAGGATATCTGTTTTTAAAGTAGCCACTTGGAAAAGGTACAGCTGGCCAGCACCAAGGTGAAAAAGAATCAAGGAGTTGGAGGCTAGAGATCTAGGTTTTCCTCTTGAGTTTTCCACTAAGAAACTGTGTCTCTGATCATGTTTTCTTTCTCCTTTGGGCCTGAGTTTCCTAATAGATTAGACTAATTAATCCCTAAGGAACTTTCTAACTTCAGTGTAAGAAAAAGTCAAATGGTTTCCCAAATTCTTCCCTCGAGTTCCTTCTCACGCATGCCACTGATCAGAGTGGCCCTGAGGAATAGGGTGATATGAACATCTTTGTGTGGGTTTATCTTTTCAGGTGTGCCAGGTGCCATAGGGCCTCAGGGACTTCCGGGTCTAAAGGGAGACCAAGGAAACCCAGGCCATACCATGATTGGAGGAGCTGGCCTTCCTGGCAGAATTGGTTTGCCAGGCCTACCAGGTCTACCAGGCCCACCTGGTAAGTTGTTCATGTTTTTCTTTGGTCTTGAGGCTCAGGTGTGATTCATAGTACAGAAATGTCACGATTTTGTGGGGAGCTTCTCACAGATGAAATAGCTCAGCCAGGGTACATGATAACTCCAGAAAACCTGCAAAAAACGCCTCTATTCTCTCTGTGTAAACCCTGCTTCTACTGGTGTCAGCTACACAGCAAAGTGTTCTTCATCAAAGCACAAGCAAGTAAGGGCCATCAAAATGATCAAACACTACCTAATGCCTTCCAAATTCTGTAGCTATTTCTCTTTAATCTTTCACCAGTCCCAGTCCCTAGGCCTGGGGCTTTTCAGCACCTAGAGAAGCAGCATTGGCTCTTGAGCTTCCCCTAGAGTGGAAGGCTCAAATGGGAGTGGGGGTTCTGAGCACCTAAGAGAGAAGTCATGCCTGTTTCCTCACGGTAGCTGCCCAAAAGCCTACATGGGGGGCCAGTGGTTTAGTTCAGTGATAAAGTATTTGCCTGAGATACAGGAAGCCTGGATTCCATCCTCAGGGCCAAATAAATAACACTTCCAAGGGTCTGTTTACCTCAGATCTTATACCTGTGTAGGAGAGTCTAGATTCTGAAAAAAAAAGACTGGAAATATTCCCCAGCATGATCCTTTGTACCCTAAATCCCCTGACCACTGCAGCTCATATCTCTTTCCTCCTTTGTCATAAGGGGGGCTTTCTGGAGTAAATATTGGGACTGCTGACTTACTGAAGCTACTTTGCTCATCTCTGAATGCCCAGTGTCTAGTCCAGTGCCTGGAACACAGTAGACATTTTGTAAGTAGTAGAGTGAGGCGAGACAACAGAGAATCGTGTTGCCTCTTGATATTTTTGTCTCTGCTGTGGGTGTTAAGACTTAAGGACCCAGGCCTTCACGGTCAAGCTGCTGTGCTGTGTTAACAGCTGCTGATCTTTCACATTTCTCCTTCCTGCAGGTCCACCATCTAAGATTGGAACTCTGCATGGCACAGGGCCAGGATTCCCTGGTCTCCGAGGAAAACAAGGTGTAAAAGGAAATCGAGGCCACAAAGGAGTAAAAGGTGATTGTGTCCCTTTGAGTTTCTTTGTGCCCCAAACTTCTTAGAAAAGGCTTTGTGGGGGATGAGCGAACCAACAGCCTTAGGAACCCAAATGGAAGCAATCTTGGCTCCTGAAAGAGGATTTGATTATAGGATTCTTGGAAGTGCTAAAAATAAGACTGAGGCTGGTAGTTGAGGTCACAAAAGACAAAGCGGCTGGCAGGCTGCTCTTCCTACTCCCCGCACCTACGGATGCTGTTACTGGTAGCCTAGGGTGTTAGCCAGCACAGCCCCTTCCAGTTTGCAAGGCCAAGGCTGAAAGCCACCTGTCATCACCTTTAAAGCAAAGGGCTCTGAACACGTCACAAGCTGCGACTCTGCAAAAGCCAACTGCTCCAAGAAAACAGCTCAAGTCTCCACTGCTGCGGAAGAGCCAGTCAGCACTGCACTGCTTTTCTGCCTTCTGCCTTCCTTCCTCTGCGGGGAGGGTGTTCAAATAAATCCACTATTTACGGCTGCAGCCCAAGTCAGGGTGCTCAGAGAGGTAAAGCTACTGACTGAAGAGAGGTTTAGAGATGGCGTAGCAGTGATGGCGAACCTTTTAGAGCTTTCAAAGATAGCAGCCTGCTGCAGTGTGTGTGCCATAGGTTCACCACCACTGGCCTAGGGGTTTGGGTTATCTGAGATCTTTCCCCCTCTCTCTAGGAATTAATGGCTCTCCTCAGCCTCAAACAGAGAAATTCTAACTTACTCCTCTCCTTTCTCGCTGCCCCATCATAAAATGTCGTTCAGTATGGAAGCAGTGAAGTTTTAGACTCTCAGGTCTTGACATAGTTCAGAAAATTCAGAAATCTTGATCTCTGACATTCAAATTTCAGGAAGACTGTGTTGGTCACTTTCCTTGTTGCTGAGACAAATTGATACTCACCACTCAAAGGAGGAGATGTTTATTTTGGCTCCCGGTTACGGTCTGTGACTGGAAGGCTCCAAGAGGGAACAGCATGGGGAAAAGGCCTGCAGTGGAGAAAAGCTGCTCAGGTCCTGGCAGCCAGAAAACACACAGAGAGAAGGGAGGAACTGGGATGGAGACACACCCTCCAGGCCACACCCCCAGCGACCTGTCTTTTCAGACCAGGCCCCACCTCCTAACAGCAAATCAGCTGTATCACTCACGATTCAACCACTTTCCAAAAGCCCTACCTATGAGTACATGAGGCTTTAGGGAACATTCTCGATCCAAACCATAATAACAAAGACTGAACAGGAAAGGACATTAAATTGCAAGGCTAGACTCAGGATGTTAATTTTGGCCCTTCCCTGACTGACCACAGAGCTGCTGTGTTTCTCATTCTCATTATCATTTGTAAAACAGAGACAACTATAATGCTACCCATTCTGTAAGGCCATGGGCCTAAAGGTTTTCTTTAAGTCTAGACTAGCGAGTGTAATCCTCAAGCTTCATCATACAGGAATACCCCCTAGAGGAAATTATTAAAATTAAATCCTTGGGTTTGGCCTCTTGAGAATCTGACTGCCTAGGATTGGGCTGGGACCCCGAAAGCTGCCTTATAAGCAAACACCACAGGTGACTCAGGCAGGAGGTCAGTGGGTCACACTTGATAAATACGAGTGGAATACCACTCATGCAAAATGTTTGGGACCACAAGTATGTCAGATTTCATATTCTTCAGAGTTTGGAATATTTGTATAGACCTTCCTGGTTGAGCATTCCTAACCAAAAACCTAAAATCCAAAATATTTCAGATTTCAGAGCATTTAAACTCAGTATGTGCTAACCTGAAGAACAGACTGTTTTCTCAGAGTTCTGAGGATCATTAGTTTACTAAAAGTAAGAAGACGTCCTTCAGGATCTTAGGGAAACTTGCAGCCTCTTGTGTTGTTACTAATTCTTATTCTGCAGACCGTGAGCATGGAAAAGGTAAGATGATGGTTGAGCTATATGAGAGTATGTCCTTGATACATTCTCAAAGTACTTTGCTGAAATCCCCATCATGTATGCAAGAATCAGGGGAAAAGGTATTTTGGTGAAGAGAATCTTTGAATGGCTTAGATGCTAGACTCAGCTGGCTAGGTAAAAGTCAGTGGTATACTCGGGCCACGCATTAGACACTAATAACCGGACCTCATCCCACACTAATTAAAGACATACTCTGAAGGTGTTCATTTGAGTCTCTTCTCTTTAGGCTTCTTGATTCCCTCCAAGTCACAAATAACTGCTATCAGGTTTTTCTTCTTGTATAGGAGGAGCCACTTTGTTTTACATTGTCTGTTTTTCTCCCAGGGGACTTGGGTTTTTGTGCTTGTGATGGTGGTGTCCTGAACACTGGACCACGCGGGGAACCAGGCCTGCCTGGGCCACAAGGTCTCATGGGTTTTCCAGGCCTTAAAGGAACCAGAGGAGATCCAGGCTCTGAGGGTGCACAAGGCCCAGCAGGGACTCCAGTAAGTCTTGCGAAACTTTGGCTCTGAGGAAGCAATGGGAGCTTTTAAGGGTCCCTTACTCCCTTTCCTAAAGCACATGAAAGATAGATACAGATAACACAAAGCTTCAGGTTTTTTATTTGTAACACACAGTCTGACTAGATGGTCTCTAAAGTCCCTTTCTGCTTTAACGTACCTATATTCTCTCCCTTCTTCCCACCTCTTTCCACAAAACTGTCTATAATTTGCCTGTACTGTGCTAGGCCCTGAACATTAAGTAGGAGTTAAGATGAACTTTCAACCCTTAAAGATTTCAAAATTTGCCTTGTAGGGAAGTGCATGCCTGCAATCCCAGAATTTGGGAGTTGACGCAGGGGAATCACTGTACGTTCAAGGCAAGCCTAAGCTACAAAGTGAGTTCAAGTCCAGCCTGAACTGCATAGTAAAACCCTATCTCAAAAAGACAAAAAAAAATTCAAAATTTAGAAAGGATAAAAGAATGGAAATTATTATCCAAAATGACAACATAATCTAGTGCTCAGAACAGTGCCAAAATATACCCAAGGACCTGCTTTAGGTCATACCTTTGCTACATTCCAGAAATCTATGAAGTCCATGTTTCTTGAGTGTTCTTCTTATCTCTTTATCAGGGTTCAATTGGACCTCACGGCTTTCCAGGTGTCAAAGGAAAGAAGGGTGAACCAACTCTCAGTACAGGATCAGGGATGCCGGGGGAGAAGGGTGATCCTGGCCCCCAGGGTTTCCCAGGTATAAAAGGAGCTCCAGGCAAGGATGGAGTACCAGGTTTACCAGGTCTGCCAGGTCTTCAAGTAAGTGGATTGTTTCCAGATGATTAGCTCTATACATACTCACATCTGACCTAAGGGAGGTCTGATGGTAACTGAACCATGGGACAGGACAAAAGAAAGAATTCACAATATCTTGTCCTGCCTCTGTCACTGATACTTTTGGCCTTGTGCTTTTCTATAAAATGGGAATCGTTTTCTGGGAATAGCAATTGTTTCATTTGATAAATGCTAGTAACAATTCACCTTGACACTTAAAAATGTTGCAGCTTCCCAGTGCCCTTCCCATTCAAGCAATTCAGTTTCTTTCTGTGACTTCGAGGGTTATTGTTATCCTGGTCATTTCATGCCTTCTTTCCCACCCCTATCTGAAATATCAGATGACCGAAAATTGACAAGACCCATTCCCACTAACTAAACTCAGAGAAGGTTGATAAAGTGATAGAGAACTTTAACAAATCATAAACCATTAGTCATGCTGGTTACCTCTTTCCTATGGTCAAAGAATTCTTCAGATAAGTCTCTGATATGTACTTTAATTATTTTTTTATTGTCTAGGGTGATGGTGGACAGGGATTCCCAGGAGAAAAGGGACTACCAGGAATTCCTGGTGGAAAAGGCCATCCTGGTCGAACCGGTCCCCGAGGAATTGGGCTGCCAGGAGTTCCTGGACCTCTCGGGCCCCCAGGAGAGAAAGGAATAGATGGGTTACCGGGGCAACAAGGCCTCCGTGGACCTCCAGGTGAGTCATGGATCAGATGGCTTTGGACTTAGAAAATCGACGTCTGGTAGAGTGGCCATGACTCAGATGCATTAAATATGTCACAAGATGAGATTTGTCAGACCGTAATCACTACTTTCAATCCTCTTAAGGTTTTTTAAGTAGTGAAGGGGCGATAATGCATTGGGATAATCTTAGAATGAAAAACAATGTATATTTCAGCTCCACTTAGCAAAGAACTTCCTGAAAGAGCAGAGTGAAAATGTCAGAGTTGTGTAGAGGTTATGAGCTCATAAGCTTTGGAAAAGTTCAAAGAGAAGCTGAATGACCATTTATTGCAAATGTCATTGAAGTAGTGAGTAGAGCATTGGATGAGTTTGCCCTCTAAGTTATACAGTAATATCATCAGCATAGAAGAAAATTTCCCCAATTGATGGAATCTCAAATTGGGCAGAGAACCTAGTTGCATCTAGTCTAACTCATATTTTATACCTTAACTCTCTTATTTTTATATTTCTTTTCCTACTTGAATTTCAGGCATCATAATGGTGACATTCCTGTCTATATATTATGAAAGTTCAATGCTATTAATTCATCTTCTTTCATACAGCCAGAACAGCTCTTCATCTGAACTTTTGTTCTATGTTCTATAAGTTCCATGTTTCCATTAGTGGTACCACAGTTCTGATAGTCATCTGAAGTTTGAAAATTTGAGGTTAGCTCTTTCTTCCTTTGACATGAATCATATTCTTTGCTTCCTCTCCTTGCTACTAAGTTCTTATTATGCCATGCCTACCTGTATGTTTTTGGAATACATGGATGGCTAGTTGGGAGGATAGATGGATGGAAAGTTAAGTGAATGACAGCTTCTATCTCCTACCTCAGCCTATTTCCATTCAATTCTACTTGAACATTGCTCCAAATTTAATGCCATAAAGTAGCAATATCATCAAGTTACTCTCCTCACCCAAAGCTACAAATGTTCCTTATTGAATGGAGAATAGTGTCCAAATGCTTCAGCATGGAATTCCCAAAAGTCTCCAAACATGGATATAATCAGCCTTTTCAACCTTATACTCACACTCTTAATAATAAAAAAATTTAAAACGAAGATACTAGTCTTCTTCCCTGTACTGAAACACAAATATCTTCATTTCCAACTCCAAGAGTTTGCTCATGTTCCCTTCCTCCTTTTTCTATGTAGTCATGTCTTGTTCATCTTTCAAGGACGTAAGCCCTACTTCTTCCATAAAGCTTTCCCTTCACCTCCACAGTATGTCATTGCTTCTTAAATTAAGCGTCCTCTTCCATTAATACTTTTACTTTTCCTAACTATAGTGTAAGTTTCTAGATACTAGGGAAGGTGAGTGATACGTTACTTTTCTGAACCTGCCCATGATAGTGCAATGTCCATAGAAGATTACTATGTACTTGGAAAAGAAAGTGTCCTCCCAATAATCAAAGAGCTATTTCTTAGGCTTCTTTCTCTTGTTGTCACTTTCAGGAATTACAAAAAAAAGAAGACAAGATAGCAGGTTCTATAAGTTTTTGTCTATTTTAAAATCTAGTTTTGTGAACCAATGTAAAAAGCATAATGGTGCAGGTTAAAACTTGATCATTAAAGATTCTTAAAACCAGGTTAGAGGGGCTGGGAATTTAGCTCAGCGGCACAGCATCTACCTGGCAAGTGCGAGGTTGTGAGTTCGATTCCTGGTTCCGCAAAACAAACAAACAAACAAAAAAAAAAACCAGGTCAGAATTTCATTTCGCAAATTCCTAGGAAGGCTGTGAGAAATGTTATCAAACAATATCAGTCTCCTCTTTGGAAGTCCTGGCATCAGCTATAGCTTTGCTTCCAGCTCTGTTTCCAGAGAAATTCCTCATAGTCATTCCACTGCTCCTCTGCTAATTGATGGTTCTTCACTCCAGGTCAGCACACTGTCCAGGAAACTAGGTTACAAAATGAGTTATAATACCATGGCACCTATAAACTCACATGCCCTGAAATCTGAATGCTATCAGCATTCCAACTCTTTAACAATAGGTTGAGTCAACAGAAGGAAGCCTATAGGATCATTTCTGTCCCAAACGTCACTAGTTCCTGGACACAGAAAGTTCTCAGGAATATAGTACTACAGTGTGCTACAACCAGAAGATGCCTTATACAGGAAATGTCCTTGTTGCCATACCAAAAATTTCAAAACAATTATTCTATTTAAAGCATTAGATTTATTTTTTTTTTCTTTGAGGTAACCAGATATAACTCCACAAATCTAAGTTTCCAGTGATAGCCCACGCTAGGACAGCTACACTGCCAAATGAGGGAATGTACTCACCAGAAACTTTTCAACCTACAAGTGTAAATTATTACAAACCTTGGTCAAGCCAACAGCTATTTCCAAAGAGGCTTTGACTCCAGAGGATCACAGTAATCCGTCACCCTGGTTGTAACTGAAGTGGGTTCCAGCACTCTCGGCTCAATACAGAGGTTGAGTTTGGCTGGTGGGCACATCCAGGCTGCAGACAAGACTGCCCTTTGGCCTCAACAGACTTCTGTCCCAGTTTTCTTTTCTTCTTTGTTGGTTGGTCTACATGATTACCGCTGCAGGGGAATGGTTGGTAAAGAGGAGACTTAGACACAGAGGGAGGTAAGAGCTAGCTACAGGTTCTCAGATACTAGTGTCGGCCACATTCCTCTTCTTTTTTATTCTCACTTGTCTCACATTCACAAACACCACACTGGAGACTCTGTTTGAAAAGGGTGATTGTACTGGAACAGAAGTCTGTCTTCAGCACCATCTCTTAAAGGATTTGTTGTTTTGATCTGGTGGTCAAAGGGGAAAGTATCTATGAAACCGATGTGATAAATTAGAGATGCGTGGCTTCACATTTGGACACATCCAAATATATTTAAATAGGGATATTTGTATTTTATCCAGTTTGTTTCTTAAAATATACATAAAGTAGTAGAATTGCAATGGTAAGAGTTTGACATATTGGACCCAATGAGCTGTTGAGATAGTTGGGGGCAGGAGAGTCTCATGCAGGGTAACCTCATGACCCCAGCTCCAGAGGCCATTCTCTGGCCTAGTTCAAAAGATGCAGATCAAAGCAAAGTATAAGATTGGAATCCCTCTCCCAGTGGAGCATCTCAACATGAGGGTCTTGCTTATAGAGTATATTTCCTTATGAAGGAAATAAATCTCAGAAATAACCCTGTCATCTCATTGTCTAGCAGGACATAGATGAGTGTGCCCACCCATGGAGAAGGATCCAAGCCTATAGCCACCTCTCCACCTGTGTTAGTAGGACTGTAAAACTCTGAGGTCTAGAAGGCAGAATATTGAGGCCAAGGGTACAAAATAGTGTCACTAAACTGACTGAGATAGAAACCAGGGCGTGGCCTTGTAGGGGCTCTTTTGAATGTTCCTCCTTAAATACACTAAGAACTGTTATTTACTGAGCATGTACTAGGGTACAAGGCACTCTGCTAAGTGCTATGGTTCCTGTTATACACATGAGGCTCAGGGAAGTTAAGTGTCTTGTCTGCACCGGTAGTTATTAGAAGAACTAGGATACCAGCTCAAATCTGTCTGGCTTTATAGCCCAACATAGCCACTATTGCACACTGTTCAATTCTCATTATTGATTTAGGGATGAAACAAGTGACTTTTATTGCAAAAGACAAGTAGAATCCTAGGAGAAGTGCCAGCCAGTTGATTAAGTAGTCTCAATCACAGGCTGCCTATGTATTTTTCAGAAAAGTAATTTGTGATTTATTTTAAATACAGACAAATGCTATAGCAGTTTATTAGAACTGTTGGCTCTGTGGTTTAAAGCAGGCCTGGGAGGACTGTTTAATAAATAGGCAAGACTAATTTTAATTAGCATAGCAATTGTTCATAGATGGCGCTTGAGGGAGCCAACAATTCGCTCACCAGTATTTTATTAAACCCCCCCTCTGTGATCTTACAGAGTCTTTTTATTTGCATTACGAGTGAGCAAGGAAGAATTTGCTAGGGGAAGAATTCTTGGTGTCAATTCCGACATCCTGAATACTGAAATGGACTGCCCCTTTTCCCTGAAGAGCAGAATTGACAGTTTCACATTTAAAAAACTGAGGGAAGGGTCACCATGTGTCTTCACGGCCAAGAGACTGGTCCTTCAGTGTCTGCCTGGTACAGACATATAGGTCCAAGAACAATCAATAGGTTTCAGTACACCCTAAATAAGTTGTGTCTCAAAAAAGCCAATGTTTGGGGGAAGCTTCATTTTAAGAAATTGGTAGGCATGTACTTGAGGGGTTTTGGCTTCAAATTCTTCAATCTAGTAATGCAGGCAAAGGGACCCTCTCCCATCTTCGGGATAGGCTCTGTCTAAGCAAAGGGCAAGTATACAATTTCTGTTTGCTGTTGTTCCTAGTTAAGTAACACCTGCCATACAGGTGACTGCTTGCCCAATGGGTACCAGTGGTTTGATAAGAAACATCCCAGCACTTTGACTCTAAGAACATCCTTATCTCTAAGCAGATATATTGATAGTGATTCCCAAGAGTGTCTCGCTGTTAAGCGGGAAGGACTTGGTTATACCATTAAATGAAATCCCATTAAAGGAGCCTGCCAGGGGGAAATCTTCCCTGACTCAGTGAACTGACCACATACATACATTTTACCATTTACAGGAATCACCTTGCCTTGTATTATTCCTGGGTCATATGGTCTGTCAGGATTACCAGGAGTTCCCGGATTAAGAGGTATGGAATGAGGCTAGAAAAAGCCACTGGGTACACTTAAGGGCCATGAGCCAGAGGAAACAAAGTCGGCCCCAGGAGCATTTGAAGATTCACATTCTTCCTGAGGGGTACCTTGGGGATTGAGGAAATAGAATGGCTGCTGGAGAGGGTAGTGTGGGTAGGTGAGAACAGGAGAGACCCTCCAAGAGACGAGAATTATTGACTGAATATCACAAATCATACATAGACACACTGACTTTCCTTTCCCTTCATTACTTACATTTGGGCTTTCAGGCCCTAAAGGATTCCGTGGCCTCCCTGGGACTCCAGGCCAGCCTGGATCTCGTGGAAACAAAGGAGAGCCTGGAAGTCCAGGATTACTACATCTCCCTGAACTGCCAGGTAAGGAAAAGAGCTCTTCTTCATCTGTTCCTCCTTTGTGTGCCTATATGTGTGCATTGTAGTCACCCTCTATCAATGACATTAAGCTAGATTTGCCCTCTGCTGTGGTTGGGATGGTTTGTTTTCACAACCAGGGAAGATAGCATACAGCTATAGAATGACAATGTATCACAGCAGTAATGGCTAGTCAATATCAGCTGGAAAAAAAATCCTTAACTTTCAGATGAGGAAACTGAGGCTAAGATAGAAAAAGACTTGCTCGAGATTGCAAAGCCATTAGTGACCAGGACTCTCCAGGTCACCTGATTACCAGTGCTTTGTCAGTTTTCTGGGTCAACTTCTTAAAGGTCAAAGAAAGATTCAGATCAGTCAGAAGGAAGGTGTCCATTTCTCTGCCTTTTTTCACACCCTGTTGTTCTAACCGGAGCTTCATGGGGCTACATTACACCAGTGGTTCTCAAACTGTGTTCTCTGGGCCAGTACCTGCATCACCTGGGAACTTATTAGTAATGCACATTCTCAGCCTTTCTGTAAGGCCAGCTATTCAGACATTCCAAGATTTGGGGCCAGAAATCGGTGTGTTACCCCAGGTGATTCTGAATCACCACTGCTCTAGGGCTTCAACCTCATCTCGGACCATGTACCCCAGAGCTCACTGATTCCTCAGTTTACCCCATACATTTTCCCCACCATAGAAGTGGGAGGTGTGACAGCAAGAGTTAGACAGCTCCAGAAAAGATTGAGCTTTTGCCAAAAGGCCTCAAGTGTAACCTGTGTTTTTTAGTACCTGTTGAGCTCAGGAGCAGCTTGAGTACTGCCCATGGCTAGCCTCATGAAAATAGAACCTTCGCCAAGTCGTAAGTTAGTTCGTGCCTCTGCACAAGTCCTCGCAGTACCAGAGACCCCTGACCATTATTAACATGTTTGCTTTTCTGTTGTAAAACTCTGTCTCAGATCTCTACACAAATTGCTTCTAAATATCCGTAGCCTTTTATTTTTGCCTCTTTACGTATTTTAGGATTTTCTGGACCACGTGGGGAGAAAGGCTTTCCTGGATTTCTGGGGCGTCCTGGAAAAGACGGCTTGCCTGGAAAGGCTGGCAGCCCAGGTTTACCAGGATCCAAGGGAGCCCCTGGTGACATATTTGCCGCTGAAAGTGGTGCTTCGGGGGCTCAAGGCCAACAGGGAGTGCCAGGGGACAGAGGATTTCCTGGAGACTCTGGCCCTCCAGGACCCATGGGTGATTCTTTTGTCCCACATATTTAACAATCAACAGAAATACTTACCGTAACTGGTATACTTGCATGAATATGGGATAACTGATTAATTGGGGAATTAAAATAAAATATTATTTTGTTCTGTCTTTCTCTGGGGGAAGTTTTTCTTAAATGTCCTAAATCCACTTGCTGGCTTATTCATAATAACTAATAGTCAAATTTCTTGCCAAGCCTTTGATTTACTGCTGGAAATAGCAATAAGGCTGGAGCTGAGAAGAGAGTAGAACCTGGGATGAATCCTAGGCAAACCTTTTCGGCTGGAAGTTGGGCTGGTGACCCAGTTCCTGCTGTTGATCCAGGCTGTGATCATCCAACTCCTCCCTTTTATTAGGTTCACATGGGCAGCCTGGCTTGCTAGGTCCCAAGGGTGACCAGGGCAGCCCTGGAACACCAGGACAAGTGGGACAGCCAGGCCCCCCTGGGTCTAGTGGTCTTCATGGCATCAAAGGCAAATCCGGGCTCCCAGGACCACCAGGTCTTCCAGGCATTTCAGGTAGGTCCACTGAAGGAAGAAGCCCAGCTTGACAGACTTGGGCCCGGGCGACTGAGGGGCAATAGCAGCAGTGAGACATAGTCAAAGTTTAGAATGAGATTTGACTTTCCTAACCTCTCAGGTTTCAAATCTCAGGTCATCCCTGGCAGTGCCAACCAGAACAGACTGCTACAGTTAAGCTTCCAAAATATGACAACATATCCCTTCCCGCCCCTCCCGCATGGCCTCATTTCCCCTTTTCATACTTTGGCCTATTTCCCGCATTCTCCAGTGGAGAAGCTGCCTGTCTCGGTGAGGGCACGTTTAGCCCATCTCCACTGCCTTCTCTGGGCCCTCGGGGAGTCAGTCCACTTTGGTTTGCAAAGGGGCTTGAGCAGAATGTGATCACCCCAGCATTCTGCCTCTTCAGTGAATGTGCCTCTGAGGACAGGTGGCCAGAAAGTGGCTTTACTCAGCAATGGGCCTAACACCCCCGGTTGCAGCCTGCATTTTTCTTGGTCTACCCTTCTCACTCTGCCTCAGTTACTCCACCACCACCCTTCCCCTTGACCCAGCAACTGAAGGTGAGTTATTTGCACAGCCATTAATATCCTCTTTATCACCTCTGTCCTTTTGTTTCTGGAGTCTTCACTTAGGCTGCCTAGGTGAAAAAATACAGCACAGAAGCTCACAGACTAAAACCCCACCAGGGAATTATCTGACTGTACACTATAACATGGTCTTGCTTACAAGGCCAGGGATCCCTGAGCTCATGCTGTGGAGTTGGCTCCATTGAATTTCCTTCCCTGTGGTGGAGTCCCCCGTCACAGCCTCTCATTGGAATCTTGAGGCTCACAGCTACTTGATGCTTTTCATTCCATAGAAAGCTAAGTCAGCCATTCATTTAGGTCCTTGGGGGCCCGAATACCTCTGTCCTCGTTGGTTTAATCCTTTGGTTTTTTAATTCCCTTGCTTTGTACCTGAACATTCCACTTTGGCAGCAGCTCAGGAGGTTAATCCTATTGACCAACTTAAAGTGTGGTAAAAGACAGCTCAGAATACTTAGGAGATAAAATGGGCCTTGTGGGTTTCTACAGTACTTGGCACTAGGGGGTCTTTCAACCTTAATGCCAAGGAACTGGCTGACTTAACTGCTTGCTTGAGGGATTAAAAGGGCAGCCCTGTATCCAAGGCTCCCTGGGAGGCTGAAACAACAGCTCGGCTTTAACCTCTACTTCACTGATTGGCCCAGGAAGCAGGCATTGTAGTGTGATTCAGAGTGGAAGTATGAAAACCGGAGCCCAGTTGCCACCCTGGCATCCAAGAGCTCCATTTAGAAGCTAAAGCATGGTCCACATTCATAAGGGAAGTTATGATCAGAAAGGAGTTTCGTTTACTTCCAACTACTGTGCTAGGCTGGAAGTAATAGTCATTTGGGGTGGCACTCTAGTGCGTAGGTGCTAATGTTTCAGCCAACTAAGAACTCTGCCTGTTAGCAGATTGCATATGTCATTAATGGCTAAAAGGCCATCTGCAAAACCCAGCAAGCCAACTAACCTGATGCTATGGGAATAGGCAGTCATACAGATATGGCTGGAACTTCACTTAACTGCTGTCCTTTCTGTTCTTTCCTGTGCCAATTTAGGATATCCTGGAAAAAAAGGTCCAAAAGGCGAGAAAGGGCTCCCTGGATCAACTAGCAAAAGAGGTCTACCTGGGATGAAAGGCCTTCCAGGACCCCCTGGGCTAACTGGCTTCCTGGGGAGTCCAGGCCTGCCGGGGGTTACTGGGCTGCCAGGCCTCCCAGGTCCAAAGGGTAAGTGAAATGATCAGGAAGGCCGGTGAAGGGAGCAGACCAGTGAATACGCAAAAGGAGTATCCCAGCTGCCCAGCTCAGCCCCTTCTCTCTACCTGAGAGTGGGCCACAGCCCAGGCTCTCAGTGGCAAGACCCTTGGACAGGGCTAGTACTAAGAGAAGACTCCCACCAAAGGTGTGTCAACTACCCTGCCTGCTGGGTGGTTAGTTGGCTTGCTGGGTTTTGCAAATCCAGCAAGAAAAGCCCAAGCAGTAATAGCCACATCGAGCCTGCTCATATGCATGACATTTGCCGTGAAGCCTGATACCTGTCACTTCCTACGATTGCCCTGAGAGTCAGCATGTATCATCTGTTTTAAGCAAGGGAAAGTGACTGGTCTAAGGTCACACAAGCAGTTAGCAGCAGAGTTAGGCTACAGCTCTATCTCCCTGCTTCCTAGTCCTATGTTTTTGTTTCGCTTTATTTTGTCTTTTGTTTTTCTGTGCCACATGAGCTCTGCCTTGGTGAATCATAAGCAAGGCTTCCCTTCTTTCCTGTGTGTTGCTTAGTGCCACATCTCTGTTCCGGAGAGTAATACAATGTGTGACGACTAAAGACTTGGTAGTGACTGAGACTTTGGAATACAGCAATCTGGATTTGAATCCCTTCATGGAAATGTCTTAGTTATGTGACACTGGACAAGTAATTCTACTTCTCTGTGCTTCAATTTGTTTCCTTAAATGAAAACACATAAAATAATAGAAATTCTGTTTTTCAACAGGTGAGAAGGGGTCCATTGGACTACTAGGTTTTCCAGGACTACAAGGTCTCCCTGGTTTTCCTGGTGCAAGTGGATTAAAGGGAATTCCTGGGTTAGTTGGAAAAGTGGGAACATCTGGACGGGCTGGAAGTGCTGGTGAAAAGGGTGAGTAGAAGAAGTGAATTCTGAAACTGCCACCACTGCTTTCATGTACATTTGCGTGTTGATTTGTTACCGTGGTTTTTACCAACCCTATGTTAGACAATAAGACATGAGACTACTGAATTAAGCCATTTCAAACAAAAAGATGAATTATTCTGAGTTAACACTGCATGTTAGCTTAGTGTGGCAGTGCACGCCTGTAATCCCAGCACTTAGGAGGCTGAGGCAGGAGGACTGCTGTGAGTTTGAGACCAGCCTAATCTAGTGAGTTCAAGGCCAGCCTGAACTACATAGCAAGACTGTGTCTCAAAAAAGGATAAAGAAAAACAAAAACCCACTGCATGTTAGATCCTATGTTAGCCATCTTTCCGCTACTATAACAAATACCCAAGAAAATCAGCTTAAAGGGAGAAATATTTATTTTGGTTCATGGTTTCAGAGGCTTCAGTCTATGGTCGCTTGGCCCTGTTGCCATTACAGCAGCATATCATGACAGGGAGCGCATGGTGGAGTAAGCTACTCACCTTATGACAACTGAGAAGCAAAAAAGGGAGGAAAAGAAGAAAAGAACAGAGTCCCTCCATCCCCTTCAAGGGCCTGCCACCACTGACCTAACTTACTCGTACTAGGCCTCATCTCAAAGCTTCCACCACCTCCCAGTGTTCCATGGGCTGGAGAATCAAGCTTTTTCAATACATGGACTTTATCCGAACAATAATAATCTGCCCCATAAGGTTCATGTCAATCTCACAATGAAAAAAAAAAAAAATATATATATATATATATGTAGTCCAGCCATAAGAGTCTTCAAAGAATTAACTCTGCCAGCATTGCACAAAAGTTCATATCCAAAGTGTTCTCTGAGACACACAAAATTCTCAGCTCTGAGCCTCTGTAAAAAATGAAAGAACAAGTTACATATTTTCAAGGTACAGTTGCACAATGTGAACATTCAAATTCAAAAACAGAAGACTAATGGCATAGAAAGGAAAGATCTGACCAAGCCAAGACTGAAATCCAGCAGGACAAACATTAAATCATGCAGTACCACATCCAGCATTGCATGCACCCTGAGGTAGAATGTGAGCTCCCAAAGGCTTGGGCAGCCCCATTCCTATGAACTTGCTGGCTGGGTTGGGCTGGATCTATTCACTGCCTGCATCTTTCCTTAGCAGGTATTTCACATTCCTGGCATCTCTAACTTTGTGAGAACTCCACTGTAGGTTCAATTTCACACTCACAGCTTTCATACACCACCCTGATGCTGCCTGGCCTCCCAGATGTTCTTTTGAAATGTTGTTGGAAGCCTCCATGACCCTAGAGCTCTTACATTCTGCACACCTGCAAAACCAGCATCATATGAACAAAACTAAGGTATACTACCAAAGTGAACTGCACCTGGGCCAGTTCTAACCACCGCTTTAGCAGCTTCTGAGTGCCTGGACAGCTGAACACAGGGAAACATTTCGCCAGGCTGCCCTTACGTGCAGGGCACCTGTACGTGCTCTTGAAAGGTTTCTCATAAGGAAAAGTCTTTGAAAACAAGTTTATACTTTTATAACTTTGAGTGTGTGGTGGGGGATGAATTGAGTCTTATCAGTTCTTTACATCCCCTCAAGGCGCCTTTCCTGTTGTCTCAGTGCAAAGTAATCAGCTTTTTTTTAATAGCGCTATTCTCTTTAAGAACTGTACCTTTCTTGCAAGTACCTTTAAATTCTCTCCTTTCTGACAAAAATGAAAATTTTCCAAATTCTTCTGCCCTGCTCTTCTTTGCTTCTGGTCCTCACAGTAAATTTGGCTAGAAGCATGCAGTAATACCCATGCCACAGTGTGAGCGCTTTGCTGGCCGAAATTTCTACTGCTGGTTAAACTACTCTGTTACCTTTAAGCTCAGCTTCCCTTGAAGTATCAGGATATGGACATAATGCAACCTTTTTTTTTTACCATGATATAAGGAAGGCCTCTCGTTGAGTTCCTAATAGAGTAATCATTTCTGTTTGAAATCTCATCAGCATAGGCTTTACTGTCTACATTTATGTCATCTTTCTGGGCTGCTGAACCCCTCTCAGAATTGCCTGTTAGGCTCAGCTTGTAGCATTCTAAGTTTTCACTAGCCCAATCCTTAACGCTTTTCCAAATTCTTCCCATAAGCCAAATAAGCAAAAGGTTTTTTTCCACATTGTCTCAGGTATAGCCATAGCAACAGCCCCATTTTCTGTACTAATTTTTTTTATTTTAAAGAGAATTTTAAAATAACAAAATAACAACATAGACAAGAATGAAACAACACAAAACCAATAAAAATGATACAGGGTTTTAAAATGAAATGATAGGAATTAACAGTGGTTGTTATATTACATATAGTTATCTTCAATGAGGTTGCTCAGATTACCAGATGTAACAATGCAAGATTGATCAAGCCATTAAAGAGAACAAAAACTCTTTAAAAATATTAGAAAAGATACAGAGCTTCACTAAACAAGAAATGCAAATTAAAACAACATTGAGATTCCATCTCACCCCAGAAAGAGTGGCTATCATCAAGAAATCAACCAATGACACATGCTGGAGGGGCTGTGGGGAAAAAGGAACCCTTCCCCAGTGCTGGTGGAGTCTTGACTGGTGAAACCACTGTGGAAATCAATGTGGAGATTCCTCACAAAACTAGGATTAGAAGTCCTGCTTAACCCAGCTATTCCCCTTCTGGGTGTTTTCCCAGAATAATTAAAAACATCATACCACAGTGATATATGTGCACCCATGTTTATAGCAGCACAATTGGTAATAGCTAAATCTTGGAAACAACCCAAATGCTCAACTGAGGAGTGGATAAAAAAGATGTGGTATTTTTATACAATGGAATGTTACTCAGCTATAAAAAATATAAACTCAAGGCTTTTATAGGTAAATGGATACAACTAGAGACCATACTCATAAGTGCACTAATTTTCTATGGTAACTTTTTGTTACTATAACAAAACTTGAGATAACCAATTTATAAGGACAGGAGTCTTATTTTGGCTTAAAGTTTCAGAGGTTTCAATCCATAATTGCTTGGCCCTATTGCCTTTGGACCTGTGGCAAGGTGGTGCATCATGGCAGGTTGCCTGTGGTGGAACAAGCTGCTCACTTCGTGGTGCCCAGGAAGGAAAAAAGGGAGAAGAGACCAGAATCCTACAATCCCCTTTAAGAGCACAACCCCAGTGAGCTAACTTCTTCCCACTGAGCCCAATTTCTCAAAGACTCCACCACCTCCCAATGTACCATGAGCTAAGGATCAAACGTTAAACATAGCCTTTGGGAGACGTGCATCCAAATAACAGAAGCTGGGGCTGGGGATTTAGCTCAGCGGCAAAAGCGCCTGCCTGGCAAGCGCAAGGTCGT